GACAGTTCAAAATGTGATTTTTCGTCCTGTTCATCTACATATTATGCCCCGAAACACCTTATTTGACCAAGCTAAAGTTATAAAGCACCATTAAAGGAATTTATTTCTTAAATTTGAGAAATCTGTAGGCACCTTTCATTTACTAGATCTTGACCTTAATTAAGCATGGTCTAATTAGACTTATGTACCCTTCATGTTACGACCTCCTGGTAGAGGTAACTTAAATTTGCCCTACTGTAAGTTTCATTTCACATATTTACAATTATTTATTGTTAAATCTCGACATTAGAACATTTCTTGATTCATATTATGCATTAAACAAAATAAATGTCTATATGTAGTAGCGGCATATAAACGGCCTCCTGCGTCCTCATGAAAGGGGGGAGGCACAGAGATAAGTAAATAATGGCGTTATAGAATTTAAGGTTTACTATATATTTAAAAGATTATACATCAGAATGTTCTTTCCCTTTATAAATTACAAGATACACAATATATTTACTTCCATGAGGTACATCTTTAAAAAAAAAAAGTTTTTCATATGTAATATACAAAGTTGCTTATCATTTACTGTCAACAAAACGGCAAGTCCCTTTTTTAAAAACATTATACAATTATGGACTCTTTCGGTGGTGAATATGGTTTGTTATTCACCAGAAAAATATCAATATTGACCGAGGCGAAGCCGAGGTCAATATTGATATTTTTCTGGTGAATAACAAACCATATTCACCACCGAAAGAGTCCATAATTGTTTTATTATATAGTCCGGATTTAAATAAATAAGACATTGAAGGCTGCATGATGATATCACTTTCATTTACGAACTTTTGTCGTGGAAAAATTAAAAAAAAAATGTCCAGATTACAAGTTATAGCTTCCGTGTTTTCCTTTTGCTGTTTGTAAGACATCGAAATGTTTAGAAAATAATCCTGCGATAGGCTTGGCTACTGTTTTTCCTGCTCAGATACACAGCTGGCTCTTGCCGTTGCAACCATTGTTTACAACGTTGTTTGAGATGTTGATTGTGACGTCACAATGCCGCTGCACGCGCACCGACCCTCCGGTGAATACGGCTTCAAAACCAGTGAATATGTAGTATTATGAACTGTTTGCGTTTGTATAGATTATATAGGGACTATAAATAGACTATATCATAATAAATTTTACTTATCGCATAAGAACGTACGTTACACAGTTTGCGTTCTATATTCATTAAGTCAAATGTATTTTTGATGATAGGTGATACATGTATCTGAGTCTAATTTATATTTTATGCAGCCAACAGTTACTTGAGGAAATATGAAAATTTAAAACGGTATCTTTTATGTTCGAATTCAATCCGATTAGAAGCCTTCCGTAAGTCAATCTCGATCGTTCAGACGTATGCCTTTATCACACAAATCGAAGCCCTTTAATGATCAAGATTTTACTTCATTTTTTTTTTTTGTTGTTGATCGCAACATCAATGTATTCTTGTTACTAATTATTTTAATAGTATCATAATAATTATAATTTGATACGAAGTCCACTATAACCTTTAATTGGGAATGACGTTCAACTTTAAGTTAAATATAAAACATAACTAAATGTTTCATTGATAATTTTTTCCTTAAAAAAATTTATCAAAATATGTAAATATATTGAAAAAATATAGGATATTTCAGAAGTTTTGAGAACATAAATTTGAATTAGCTAAGACCTCGCTTAGTTCGTTCTATGTTACAGCATAAGACAGTACTTACCAAGTCCTAAGACAACGCCCAAGTCATGCTTATGACCTTACTTAAATTAAAATCTTAACACATTTTATGTTACGAGCCCCTGGTCTCCAAAGACATCATGGTCAATCTGAAATTCATGTTTGTTCTTTACATAATTTCAGGTTGGTTTTAATCGAGATTGTTGATATTCTTGTTCATTAACTCATTTGCCAGTAGCTTGTCTCGTTTCAGAACTTGTTCATACGTAAAGAATGCTCTTGCGTATCGAATCAACTGGGAGACTTAAACTCCATATGCAGGTGATAATGATACATTGCTATATAAATAAGGGAAGTGACGATAGAAAAGATGAAATCATTTATCATAAAGATTTGATGTTAGGTTGCTATTAACATCCTTTTCTAATGAAAATATGTTCCAAATATGAAACAGATGTGTCAGACTGTGGTATCTTTTATTTCGAGTTCAAAGGGCTATATCAAATCAACGTAGAAATGAATATAATGTATATTGTTAACTTATAAAACGTCGTCGATAAATCAAAATGTTGAATTGAAGGCCACTGCAATAGACTTCTTTTCATGTAGAAGTTTTTGAATAAATTCTGCTCCATATGAGTACAAAAATATGCCTGATAAAACCAGGGCGCCCCTAACAAAAAAATACTTTAATAAACTATAGTTAACTATAGTTTACTATAGTTAACTATAGTACCAAAGTAAAAACTTTGGAACTTTGATTTACTATAGTGAAAACTTTGGAACTTTGATTTACTATAGTAAAAACTTTGGAACTTTGATTTACTATAGTAAAAACTTTGAAACTTTGATTAAGTACGATAAATCCTGTGGAATTATGTTTTTGATTTCCATTCTTTACATTTTATGATATTTCAAGTTTAAGATTCATAAAAGCTTTAGAGAACATTTTTAAAACCCGACCCCTCCCCTAAAAGAATAATGTACAAGATATGAATTTTAATGTAAAGGTTGTCGCTTGCGCCGATAAATAAGCAATATTTATTTCAATGTATTTAATTTTAATATTATGCAGATGTAACGTAAGTCTTATTTATGGAGAAAAAATAATATATTATTGTGTCATTTAGAATCAAAATATCTGCTTCATCAACTTCAGTCAACATGTATTTTTTTAAATTTATAAATGTAAATATTGCATTTGAATTAACTACTTTGTATATTTAAATAAAGATGTACAATAAAAACCAGCCCCAACCAACCCCATATCCACCCCTCCCCTAAAACGGCTAAATAATAAAAAAAATTAATAAAAATACATAAGTTGTTAAACTAATGAAAAAACTTTGAAACTTTGATTAAGTATAGGGAAAACTTTGAAACTTTAATTAACTATAGTAAAAACTTTGGAACTTTGATTTACTATAGTGAAAACTTTGGAACTTTGATTTACTATAGTGAAAACTTTGGAACTTTGATTTACTATAGAAAAACTTTGGAACTTTGATCTACTATAGTGAAAACTTTGGAACTTTGATTTACTATAGTAGAAACTTTGGAACTTTCATTTACTATAGTGAAAACTTTGGAACTTTGATTTACTATAGTGAAAACTTTGGAACTTTGATTTACTATAGTAAAAACTTTGGAACTTTGATTTACTATGGTAAAAACTTTGGAACTTTGATTTACTATAGTTAACTATAGTAAACTATAGTTAACTATAGTTTACTATAGTATTTTTTGTTAGGGGCAATTAGTATCCATGGGAATTCCGACAGACTGTTCGAAGACTTGATCTCCAAAAACTACAAAGATGTTGTCAATCTGAAATTCAAGCATCTTTTTAACATCAGCATCGGAGTACTCGTGTGTACAATCAGAATATTTTAACAAAATAATTTTGCAAATGACCAATGACAAGGTAAGTAAATTTACGAGTTTCATTTGTATTGAAAAGCAGCTTTCTATGATGTCAAAAAGCCTGGACTTTAATTTATCGTGGGGAATCGTTTCATAAATAAAATGTTGAAAAGTCGAATGTTTTGATGTTATTTATATCCGTAAAATACTGTGATTTTGTTTTGATGTTATTTATTTCGGAAAAATACTGTGATTTCGAATTTTGTAAAGTTCCTAGGAGATATGAAGTATCCACATCTGATTTACACTACTTCTCGAATACTTACAATCATGTAGTGTGCTGTTGTACAGTACTCCTGAAGTATATCTCGCTCACTGCTGTTAATATTTTAGTGAGTAGTAAAGATAGAGGCTTAGTAGAACATTTACTGGAACCCACTGTATATCTTTCTTTTGTAGCAAACACAGTTAAGTTTCATCTGCCAAAATATTTTTCTTACTTATGCAATTTTACACATTTTTTGTGCTTTAGACTTTAATGGTAGTCTAACAAGAAAACCTTATAATAAACGTGATGACTTTAACTTTTCAATCGTCAACTTCCCTTACTTATGCAGTAATATACCCTTGTCACCTGCATACGGGGTTTATATCTCTCAGTTGATTCGATACCCCAGAGCATGCTCTACGTATGAACAATTTCTAAAACGAGGTAAGTTACTGACAAACAAGTTGATGAAACAAGAATATCAGCAGTCTCGTTTAAAGTCATCATTTCGTAAGTCCTATGGTCGATACAATGACCTTGTCAGCAAATACAATCTATCATTAAGACAAATGCTGACTGACTTTTTCATACTAATTGTTAGGCCATTATTTACACACTGACTTGTCGACGGATTTTTCCGTTATTTCCCGATCATGACTAGGAGCACACGTCGGGTGTGACCGATCGGCAGGGGATGCTCACTCCTCCATGGCACCTGATCACACCTCTGATGTCTTAGAGGATCGTGTTTGCTTTGCTCCTATTTTGTAATGTTAAATGGACTTTTGAGCTCAAATACTGTTCGTTATCTCCACATTTTTCCTACTAAAATATCGCTGGCATATTGCTCAAAACATCAACTCGCCAAACAATAGAAAGATGCATTATTATGATTTACCTTTGATCTCCGTCGTTCATTATAAGGTGATTCACGATTTATATTATATAACTGACAAATCTAAATTTAATCAAAATTTGTGGTCTTATGCACGACAAAAATATGAAAAACATGACTATTTATGGTCCAATAGCTTTTAAAGTCATTCTTATGTATTTCCATTTACATCTTTTAAAATCATCCCGAGCTAGCATATAGGTTATGTGGTTTCACCCATCCATGAAGAAAACCACGTGTTCTTTCTGCGCATAAAAACTCCGTCATCTTCTAGAACAGCAATTGAATAGAGATGGAGAAAGTGGTGTGTTGCACCGCTCTTTTGCTGGCCTTATATTTTGTGCAGGAGTCCAGCTGTTTTCCACGATCAGTTTCTAAATCATCCTCCAATCTTCTGAAAGCAAAGCTGCAGAGAAAATCTATTTTATCACAACCGTTGAATGTTGCCCATGGAAACGTACGTATATTACATTTACTTGATCTTTAAGAAAAACGCTCATTTCTCGTAAAACTGTTTACATTTGATGTTTTCTTACAGACTGCATTCAAACGGCAAGGCAACCCTCCGCCGCCACCACCTCCACCCCTGCCACCAATGGTGAATATGTTTATTTCCTTTCAAAAAAAACCCCCAAACTTTTATTATTAATTACTATGTCTGAGAAGACAAGAGAAACACAGGTTTCTATATACTCGCTATTTTGTGGCTCTCTCTTAAGCATTTTGTATACTCTCACACTGACAATAATTTTAGGGGACAGATTTCTGGAAGAAAATTATTGATATTTATATATATTGCAGTCTGTATGGGATTTCATAGGAATAACAAGAGAAGACTTCATTGATGGTAAATATAATTCTTTTTCTGAACTAAAATTCAAAGAAATAATGCATTTAACAGTAAATAAAAGTTCTGTTTCTCCTTCTCTCTCTATCTGAAAAAATATATTTCTTTTATGTTTTCTTTCACTCTATTGACGCGTACAGACCACAAAGATAATCTTACGTCCGAAGTAAGGACCAGTATTACAGAGGAAATGGAGAATATAGTGACAAATATCAAGAGGGGCATGGAAGAATTTGCTAGGTGTAAGTAAACCATATTTTCTTTTGTCAAGGTCAACCAACAACAGCATTTCATTTTAATGTTATTTTATTGTTTTTACAAAGAGGGTGTTGCAGAAACTCGCGATTATTCCCTAAATCGAGAAGGACATTTAAATACCCACAATGCATGAAGAGTTATCTCTAAATATTGATAATGCTACCTAGATGACTTTATTTATACGACGGGTATGTCCAGCTTGTTATAACAAAACATTTCACATTTTACGTTTATTTAATTTCATGCATAGTTTTTTTTTCTAACATAGACGGCGACCTGTACGTAAACTTTTTTCACATCTATGGTCACTGTTGCCATATTGCACGAGAAAAGTTCGAACGATAAAAAGCACAATTAATGGCAAGTGCACCTCGTACATCATTTTGAAAGATGTATTGTAGACAGCATGCATTAATATTTTTCAATATATAAAAATGTGTCCAATAACCAAGCTGTTGATGCAATATCCAAGAAATTCCATTGAGTCATTTCAATTTAGTTGTTTCAAGTCAAATCTGAGCCATTAATTAACAGAACAATAATGAAACGAAATCCGTATGAAAAAATTAAATTATTTAAAATAATAGTACTTTATTTTTTAAGACATCGACACTAAATAATAACATTAAATATATCTCTTATTAGTTTTAGATTACAATATCAATGAAAACAATTTAATTCTGCATGCATTTAAAATTTTACCCATTACCTTTCTGACATTTTCTTCCTCTCTCTTTCTCTCTCAAGAGAGATGTTACATTGTACTGTATACAGGGAAATATTTGCCCCTTTTTTTATTTTCGCCCCTTTCACCCTAGACAGAAGTGGGCGAATTTAAGACGGGGCGAATTCAAAGAAAAAAGTATAATTTCTTAAACAATACTGTGACTGGGCGAAATTAAAACTGGGCAAATTTGTTTGAAAGTGTGAGAGGACGAAAATAACATGGGGTGAAAATAACCCTGTATACAGTACTTCCATCATATAATATATATATATATATATATATATATATATATATATATATATATATATATATATATATATATATATATATATATATATATATATATATATATATATATAAACTTTCATGTAAATTAGTTGAATCTGATTCGTCGAGAAACATTTGTTATAAAACACTATTACCCCCTGAATAATGAAGCCACGCCCTCCAGCGTAGCAACAGTCAACATTGCTTGACGACGGGTGTTATTACAAAAAATACTGACTGCGTAGAATTGATGCGCGCAAGGTTCTCTGCAATATGTTTTTGTATAAAACATTCAGTATAATATGATACATATAAATATTGTATGTAGTTGAGTGTAACATTGAAAATTTTCACCCCTCGAAAACCATTGTCAATCTCGGCTGCGCTTCGGTTGACAACGGTTTTCTTGAGGTAAAAATTTTCAATGTTACACTCAAATACATGCAGTATTTATATAATATATACCAGCCATTCCAGGATTCGAACCCATTTTCAGGTAAAAGAATCTGTATAGAGTCCACACGCTTTACCACTAGACAAGCTCCGACAGTGACGTATCATCTGCTATTTTATGTGCACATTTTACATTTCGGATGGATAATAATTTTTATTCGATTTTTGTGATTTTCAAAACTATGCCTCTTTGAAACAAAAATCGGAAATGGCAGTTTTGAAGAAAAATTCTGTCTCTTAATGCGTATATCAAATTCATTCTGTTTCAAGGGGACAATTTTTCAGAACAATGGGGATTCCCTATTTGAAAAACAGAAAACTTGACTTATTTTGCTATGTGACTAATTTACACTTCATTTAATGGCTAATTGGAAGTCGATATGCATTTACTAAATATTGTTCTACATTGTGTTGTATTTACCGTTGTATCTGAAAAATTTAAGACCGTTTTCTTTAACTTAAAATTTTTCTTTTAAACTGCTACAACTTTAGGGAAAATAACAAAAAAACTGCAACACCCTCTATGTTTTAATAACATATTTTCAACTTTTATTTTTTCTCTGAACATATATAAATTTTAAATACATGTAACATATTACAAAATATATTAAACTTTTGAGGATTTTCTAACGAGGAAGCTTTCTTCTTTCTAATGGCTCAGAGTATAGTTGTGAAATCCTCCAGGATGATAAGATATGCTTCAAGTATTATTATTTTTTTCTTGGACACTGTAATTCAAAAAAGGTTTGTATAAGTTTTATGAGTATATTTTAAAACTAGGTGGGTCGTAACGCCACGAATGCCCCCGCAGGCAGCCAAATTTCAAAAGTCATATATAGTTCTAAATTATTTGCACAAAAGATTTTTTCCTCAGTTCAAAGGGCATAACTAAAACTATACAAACTATATATTAAGTTAACCTTATTAAGGTGGCTCTATACATGTACATCGAAGCTTATTCTTTTTTAAGACACTGCGTCACAAGATGGCAATTTAAATGGTTAATGAAATTGTTTGTATAGATCGATTTGGTCAACTATTATTATAGCGAAGTCTCTACAGTAGTAAGAGGGCGGAAAGCCGGAAACTGAAAATTTCTTGTTTTTTCTGAGTTCAAGTGGGATAACTTTGTCAAAAATCATCGGACCAAATTCGAGCTTCACTTGTATTTTCTGGTAAAAACCCGCATACGCAATTTCAACCTTATACATACATCCCTACAAAAGTTAGAGAGCGGAAACTGAAAATTTCTTATTTTTTTCTAAGTTCAAGAGGGATAAGTCTGTCAAAAATCATTGGAACATGACCAAATTCAAACATAACCTTCATATTCCTATGATGTATCTATATGTTGAATGTGTGCAACTGTTGCCGAGATAATGAACGGAAAGTCAATGATGACGGGATGACGGAACAGCGTAACAATATATGCCCCGGCCATTTCATCTGCAAACATTTATATCTGTAAAACGTACGAGTGTCTTCCGTAATAACAAGTATTTATTGATTTATTTTATGTTGTTTTACGTCCCGTTCGAGAATTTTTCACTCATATAGAGACGTCACCATATACCGGTGAAGGGCTTCAAATTTAGACTTTACTCGGCACTCAGGGCCGTTGATCAGTGAGGGTTCTTTATCGTACCTATGCCTACTGTGACAAGGGGCCTCGGTTTTTAAGGTCCCATCCGAAAGACCCTCAACTTTCACTTCAAAGTGCCGATCGCTTTGCGAAGGAACAGTTGCTACCTATTTTTTTTTTATCGACTTAGGTCAGTCACGGCCGTGATTCGAACACACGACCTTACAATCACGGAGCGAGCGCTCTACCGACTGAACTACCGTGACGGCACGAGTAGTTGAACAAATGACTGTACGAATCTAGGAGATTTGTAAAGATAGTTTCACTAGTATTATGTTTTTTAACATCTTCTTTATTGATAGTTTATACTAAAGCTGTGTAGAAACATTTTTTCTGGAATTTCCATCCCTGTGATGTTTTCAAAAATAATAAATATTTGTCAAATTTATTTAATTTGTATACTTTTTTAGTATTCTTATATTTTTTTCTTTAATTTAGACTTGTCCTGCATGGTGATATCAATGTCACAGGGGACGCGTTCAGTTGATGCTGGCGCCGATTTAAATGCAGTTAAAACAGATATCGTGGCAGAGGAAGAGGCAGAGGAGAAGGAATTGGATGACTTGTTTAAGTATCTTGGACTGGAAGACGAGGAGAAAGTTTGTACGTTCAAGTAAAACCCTATTTATTCGACATTTTATAAACGTTTTATGTTAAAAAAAAAGTTTATCCCATATATTCCATCAAAGTCATTCCATTTAAAAAAAAGTACACTTCAATGTGCTTTTTCAATTCCATATTATTTCCAGTGGACATGGTACAAAGCTTCCCGTTACCTAGATATGTGAAGGACTGTCAAAAGAGTAAGTCTCAAATTTCTGATTGATTTCATGTTACTTTTAAAATAAACTAAATACCAACCAATTTTACAGAGAAATATTCGATAAACATTGTATTAAGATAACAGTGCATGTGTCGTAAAGTTTAGAAACAATAAATAGATAAACCCTTAAAGCGAAACATTTTAAACAAGGTTTTAAACTTTTCTTCACTTTTCAATTTATCTCTGTGGTACACATGTATTAGCATTTAAATTAGATATTTTATTTCGTAAATACATATATACAGTGAAAACAATCACAAAACATTTATATATCAAGGTCCAATTATAATGGATATTGGCGATGAAGACTTCGATGATGTACAAGAATTTGCTGTGTGTTCAAGACTCGCTGCTCTACATACCGAAAAGAAAATGGAAAGTAATGGTATGTATTACATGTACGTACACAGTATAACAAAAATGAATTTCATATTCCAGGTAAAGGGTTTTCTTTAAATGCAGAGAGTTTATATACATGTATTTGAATCCTTTTACAAAGATTCTTCTCTTTTTTCAAAGCAAAATTAAACTTCTGAATTAAATAATGGCCGTTCCACACTCTATATTTACGAAATCGCATGCCGCACAAACCAAAATAAGTATACCATTTTCCTACAGACGTATAAAATGATTTTAGGATATCTACGAATCCTAATTACTACAAATATGTGTAAAATGTAACTTTTTTGACTTAGTACTTGCACAGCTATATTTCAATAATTGAAACATCACACTGGATCCAAGAGCAAAATTGTCTTCCCACATACATCTATATAATCAGGTCTTTACCCTTAAGCTAAGAGAGCTGTTCGGAAAGTTTGCTTACTTCTGTTATAACTTTTTTTACCTAACATCAAATTATAATCACTTAGATTAACATGACTTAACACAAACGGTTTTATTTTATAATTTGAATATATATCATGATATATTTCAAACTTACTCAAATTCTAAAATTGTAAAAATGGGATCACGGAGCAGATCAATATTTAGTAATTTACAAACAATGCACTTGATAATTTCTGTCGTCATATCTCTGTAAAATGGCGAAAAAATAAAACAAAATATAGCCGTTCATAGTTGGAATCGTTTTATTATTTAATATTCCAAGTAACAATTTAATAATTTGCTTCGTTGAAAAGATATCAGTTGCGGGAGATTTGTAGTCCTCATTAAAAAGAAAAAAAGGCAAGAGAGAGAGAGTGAGAGAGAGATGAAGTTATAGCACATAATGGAGATGCGCCTAAAGATACAATTTTGTGTTGCACTCTGGCAAACCCCAGAATAAACTCTGAAAAATGTAAAAAGAAGCAGAATACATGTATATGCCGAAAGTGAAATCTGTATTTGTGTGTAAATAGCATAGGCCGTTCTTGGGTGGAAGAGACTCTGTATCAGATTGATCTGTGAGGAAACGTATTATAAGGTAAAAAAAGAGATCAAAAGTTCATAATGTAATGGAAGGAGAGATGAGCGCTTTACTGTTGCGGGTCTTGTGACAACAGAGTTACGCGGTAAGAAAATGAAATACTAACAAAAGAACTTATGCTACTGAAACATTTGTTAGCAAACTAAATGTTAAGTGGTTTTAAGTGGATATGGCGTCAGACTGTGTCTGATATATATATATAAGGTGAGAATTTTTGAGAAACTCATTAGTTATGTTTTTGACATTACAATGCAATTAATTGTGCTCCGTTGTAACAAAACATGTTTTAAAATTTTAGAATTAAGTAACATAAGTTTCATTTAATCAAATCGAATCAAAGACTACTAATCAACACAAGAAATATTTTTTACATATATGATAATGTACGGATCTTATTCTTTTTATTATAATATAAATATAACAAAAATGACACTGTTTTTGAACAGCCCTCGTATTGAGTGTAATGAGACTAAACTCTATTTGCTGATCATTTCAGAAATATTGGATATAAAAAAAAAACAACGGCGAAAAGGTTCATACTGGAAAATAATAGTTTTAGCAAGAGTATTCTGAAATTTAAAAAAATATATATGTGTTTTAATATGTACATGGTTTGCAAGTACATGTTCATAGTATTTTAGTATGTGTATTTAATGCTACGGCGGTGGTAAATGATTGATTGTATGTTGTTTACGTCCCGTTCGAGAATTTTTCACTCCTACAGAGACGTCTCCGTATGCCGGTGAAGGGCTTCAAATTTCGACCTTTACTCGGCATTTAGGGTCATTGAGCAGTGAACGTTCTTTATCGTGCCAACGCCTACCGTGACACGAGGTCTCGGTTAATAAGGTCTCATCCGAATAACGCACAACTTCCACATCAAAGTTCGAGCGTTTGGCAAAGGAACAGTTGATACCACCTTTTTTTATCGACTTAGGTCAGTCGCGGCCGTGATTCGAACACACGACCCTCCGATCACGGAGTAAGCGCTTGGTAGTGGTAAAGGAACATGATATGATTTTTTTTTTTAATTCGTTGTCCGAAATAAAAATTTGTGTCTACGAATCAGCGGGAAAAAACATGTCCAACAGTGTGTGTCAGCCACTGTTTAATGCTGCAAATGTTGCAACAAACAAGGAAACAAGGACTATGGGTCTTAATTTTTATAAATAAAAAATTCGCCAAAACCTCTTTATATGTTGCGGTTAATTTCCATTATACTAGTAACTTGATAATTTCATAACATAAAGTTCCATTCAAATAAGAACTTGTTCAATTTCAAAGTCAATCATACTAAGTTGGCTTCAGAATCTGATGGACTTTTGTTTAGTTTATCATGGAACATGATCATATTTAATTTTTTCTTATTGGCAAAGTAACCATCTTTTTACAGTATGTAAAGCAACAATAATAATTGACATTAAACAAATAGAAATTCATAAAAAGCTGTATTATCGTGTGTTTACCTTGATTCTATTGATGATAATTCAAAGCCTAGATTAAATTTGGCTCCTGGTTTTAAATATTTGTCAAATACAAGTATGTAAGCCAGTGAGCCTTTAAATGATGCTGGAATCAAAATAGGTTTTTATATTTTTTTTAATTAGTTTCGATTTTCAGTATAAACAGAGGTCATAGGAGGGTCGAGATTAATGCATTGATTATCATATATAAAATTTCTATTGATATGATGAAGGGAAATGGCGCAATGTTTAAATATTTAAATCTCATGAATAGGCTAGTTTATGCTCGTTATTTAAATTGACGAAAATACAGTGATATTGAGATCATTTTAAATTAACAAACTCGGATTGACCTGACTGTAACCTTTGTGTAATTCCTTCTTTAAAATGAAAAGAAACACCTTATTTTGAGATAATCACAAGTTGGACAAAATCTATGGAAGAACGTAGTGAGTTATCCGGCTTTGGTTAACATTAGAACAATGTACTGCATTAGTAGCAATAGTAGTAGTGTCACAGTAGGTGTTGGCACGAAAGAGATCCCTCACTGCTCAAAGGCCCTAAAAGTGCCGAGTACAGGTCTAAAGAACAAAGTTCACTTAAGGCCTTTTTGGCCCTGTGAATTTCTCAAATCTGCTCAGTTTTCGTTGAAAATACATGTATGATAAATTTCACTTGCAGCCTTGGTGACTGCATACCAATTAAAAATGACACAATTTTCTCTCTATTCCATGTATTTTGACATCATGGATTGCGAAATTTGGGAAAGTTATTTATTACTGAGGAACGTGTCATCTGACCTTTAAGCGTGTCTATAAATGATACCTATTTCAGCCAGAATAAGTCGAATGATCATGTTGCACAAATCATATCCTTATTGAAATATCTAAATGTTTTGGTTTTAGGAGAAAGTTCACTGTAACAAACATTATGTTTTCCATGCTTTAAAAAAATTTTTTTTTCGTCTTTTGTTTACATTTATAATCTGTCGTAATTCTCGCTTATTATCATCACAATCAAAATAAAGTTCCTAATGTAAAATACAGTTAACTCGTATGTCACAATTCTGATTGCATCGTAGATTATTTATTGAGGGACTTAAAATCTATTGCACATGTATTCGTGGTGAATCGATTGATTGATTGATAGTATGTTGTTTTACATCCTGTTCGAGAATAATTCACTCATATTCATATAGAGACGTCACCATATACCGGTGAAGGGCTTCAAATTTAGACCTTTACTCGGCACTTAGGGCCATTGAGCGTGAGGGTTCTTTATCGTGCCAACATCTACCGTGACACGGGGCCTCGGTTTTTAAGGTCTCATCCGAAAGACCTTCAACTTTCACTTCAAAGTGCCGAGCGCTTGGCGAAGGAACAGTTGCTACCTATTTTTTTTATCGAGTTAGGTCAGTCGTGGCCAAGATTCGAACACACGACCTTCCAATCACGGAGCGAACGCTCTACCGACTGAGCTACAGTGACGGTCTATTGGTGGTGTAAATGTGTGTGTAATTTGAATAAAAGTATCACAGTTTTTAACTAAAGGTCATGAAATTTAAATTGCTTAACATTCTCTGTATTTTGATAATTTAGATGGAGACACTCTGTCCAGTTTTGTAGACAGACTTGAAGATTTCATTGATGGTGTTTTCTCCTTAACACGTCTTTACTTGGACTATGATTTCGGTGAGAAACTAAAGTGAAATCAAACCAAAATATTATTTTAAACATTGAATACATTTATTGTAGAATTCACAGACATAAAAGAAATTGTATGTTCAAAATTTAAAATCTATTTCAGATGAGGGTAGTGAAACACGGCGCAAACTGAGCGATGAAAGTGAGTGTCACTCCGCACCCTATATCACCATTTTGACTAAAAAATTGATATTCACAGCATTATGTAGTTGAAATGATTTTTATGGAAACTAAAATTATTCTTTCATTATTTGCTTTATTTTTTTCTTACTTTAAATCTTTACATTTGCACTGCAATTCGGTTGTATACATATACCTACATATTTAAAAACCACGATTAAGATTTTTTTGAATTGCTATCGTTTATTTATTCACCCCTAAAGATTTTCATCGATTTTCTAAGTTAAAAAAAGCCCCTTTTTGAATTTTTCAGTGACGCTTGACTGTAAACTTAGTCAGTTTTTTTATACATCTTTTTTTTATTTTCAGAACTTAGAGAAATCAAGCGAGTCCTGGAGAAGTACCTGAGTGCACCATTATATAAGAAATAAAGATATTTTTTTTTCTTTCTAAGTTTCTGGATTAAAAGAAAAACTCATTGTGTAATATTCATATATCAATCAATATCGGATGATTACAATGTTCTCTTTGTAAACAATTTGTTACCTTCTACTCTTAATTACTCGGTTTCTTTATATATATGCCTATATACTATTTGTACCTTTCCTCATACATTATATTTATTCAATAAAAACAAGATTTTCTTTAAATTTTGAGTTGTAAATTTATCAGGTTAAAAAAGATTTTTTTTTAAAATCTAAATGATGGTGTATTGCTCTCGTTCTTTCTTTTGAGAGAAAATTTATATAAGTATACTTAGATATATTTGAAACAGCAATATTCTGAAGAATACTACATGTATATTAAGGACAAATGCTACAAACTGTAATATGGATGCAAGGATTTGTATACATTTTTTGACTTAATTTGGGTATACATAATCCATATATTAAATATCTAACGTATTAAGAAATGGTAGACTTTCTGAAATGTTGAACAATTTTGAACGGTCTTGTAAAGCTCTTTTGTTCGACTCCCTTAACTTTTTTTTTTAGTAAAAACACGCAATAATAATGATACCAAACGCCTAGTTTATAACTAAGTCCATGAATAGTCAATGACTAAGTCCATGAATATTCTTTGATAAGCCTATGAAATAAATGTGCACCAAACATACATGTGTTTAGGGTGAATTAAAAAAAATGACCACCAAACTGAATTCAACTACTTATAACATATTTTTCACTTAAATCATCATATTGCAAATGCATTCTAGTTTAAAATCCTGAAGTGGCAATAGAATAGACAATTGGATTAAAAAGTTTCAGAATTTTTATTAGTAAAATTTCTTTTGAAAAAAGAAAATATCATTACACCTTAAAAGACTTTCTAAAATACATAATCACAAGAAATTATAGTTTTTTATGCTTCAAAATGGTAAAAGGGGTATAAATGATTAAATCTAGACCTTGAATGAGTATCTTCTCTTGTACATGTGACAAAAAATTGGTTTTTTGATTGTTATTTTACATTATTTTTTCAATTCTGGTTTGAAAAGTTTTAATATGAAAAAAAAAAGGAAGCAATAAAATTCCCGAAAATTCACTTTTTTGTCCGTTCAAGTCAATTCTTTAAATCTAAGCCAAAAAAGAATTGTTATATACCAGTTCTCTTACAAAAAATACTAGATTTTGAAGTCACCCTATGTTACATTATTGTGTTGCACTCCTGACATCTGATATGTATTTTATTTAACATTGTTTTAAAAATTATAACACACAATAACCCATTCTTACTTTGTAAATCAATTTGTCGTGTTGATATTTTTCATCATTTACAGCAGGTTTTTCATATTTTGAAGACCTTAAAACATGATTATTTGCAAAGTGTAATATATATAAATTGTATTTAAAATATATGTGATATGATGAAAACTATTCCCTGAATTGACTGTTAAATTTCTGTAATTTGTTGATAAACATAGTGTTTTGAACATCAAATAGTATCAAGCATTTTTTTCAACTTATTTTTTAGAAAAGATAGTTAAAAAGCATCGGTAATTATGAAGCAGTTTTGTTGCACTCCTGACTGCAGTAAAGTTTAAAATTAAAACCATAGAACACAAAAATTCATAAAGTGTTGGCAACATCAAGTGGTCATGAAATTGTGCAATACTTATAGTCCAATACTTCATAATTAAAACAGATGAAAGTATTTAAAATTCGCATTTTATCTGGAATTATACCCTATTTTATGCCAAAAAACTAGCTTAAATGTATATTTAGAAGATAAAATATATTTTAAAGCATATTTTCCTTTAGAAGACAAACACAGTAACTCACCAGAAAAATTCTACTCATCATTTTTTCTTTATTTTTATTCTTATTGGATGATTTATAATTCTAACATATTTGTTGCACTCCTGACCAAAAACATTAGGGCCTTTAAAGTAGAATTGTGAAGTGAAAATTACATAAGAACTTGTTCTATTGTTTCAGTGAAGTTGAGGAGGAATTACTTGAATTTTATGACAATGTTTTAGTGTGTTTATTTTTAACGTTCATTAAAAAAATCACAAAAAAGATAAAAACACAACTGAATTGATAAAATTGAAAAAGAAAGGATTTTGATAATAAAACTGTCAATAATATAGCATTAAATTATACAAAAAGATCATTATTAATTAATGAATACTTCTAAGCATGAATAGAAGTCTTTTCGTCACAGAACTTGAATCTTTAAAAAAATGTGTTGCACTCCTGACCATAGAAATATGGATCTGAAGCACAGACAGATCCTGTAATTGATAAATCTATTTGGTAAAAATGTTCTTTGTGTCTTTATTTTAAAAAATAAAAATCAGAAAATCATATAATGATAATAGTTTTTTCATGCTTGGAAGCAAAACATCAAATGTTGCACTCCTGACATTTTTGGGTATGCACATATACTTGACTCTCATTAATGCTGCTTGTGATTTATATAACATTTTAAAGTTTTAAAATGTATATCAGTTATTATTTTACACTTCCAAAATTCTTTTTTGTCTTAATTTTCTATCAGAATTTTACAATCGATGTTTTTTTGGCAACACTACATTTTTTCTGTTGCACTATTGACATGGTTTAACATTTTTTTAAACATCAGCCATGACCACAACTTGATTAAACAAAAGTTTCAATAGTCCACATTTAAAGCTCAATACTTTGAATATTATCAGGAAAGTCTTTATTTTCAACATGAAGCATTATTTTTTATTTCACAGATCTCCAAAAAATATTGAAATTTCAGAATGTCACAATAAGGTGTTGCACTCCTGACAATTTTAGCATCATTTTTGGGCATAACTTTTTTGTTAATTGAGATATCAACGAGATATTTGGCAGGTATTTAGACACTATCTAAAGACATATGCTGAGACATAGAAATCTATTTTCATTGCCTGTATTTTTAGTGTGGGTTGATAAATATGCGTTTGGTCATTTTTTTTTTAATTCACCCTTTACTGATAATTGGAAAGACGAAGACTTATAGAACTATCTGATTAGAAGTACAGGATGACTACACGCCATACATCCAGGACACAGAGAGCTGTAGAACCATACTTAATGGCATAGGAAATTAGGAATAACTCGCATATTTCAGCTTTCCTCCTTGAATTTTATGACACATCAAACGTATATATGATCTTGTAGTTTCTACATGTATAAGCCCATTTTCACGTACTTTCTTGGCCGAATACATGTATAACTGTAAAAATCCACACATAAGTTGGAGCTAGAAAAAATAAAGTGAATAGTCAACCAAGAACCACAACTCCAATTGATCAATGTTCATACTTTCTTTCCTCCATAGGAAATAACTTCCAGCGTATTGTTTTCTATTAATGAATAAGAAATATTATTTTCTAGACTTTACATAAAATATTTGTAAAATGCATTATGTAATTACTTATTTCTTCTTGATGAATTATTTATTTTAATCATAGCCTTTTGATTGCCTTATTCAAATCACGATATTTTAAGAATAATTACCTGTCGCCTCGCTGATTATTTAAAAAAACGGAGCTACAACATATTCACTATATTTTTATCAAATCCTCACCATAAAAAGCACCATCATTTATTTATAAAATTAAACGTTTAGATCAGAGTAGCCCAGTCTAAGGATATCAAATAACATTATTAATTAATTTGTTCATTAATGAACTGTTTGCGTTTGTAAAGATTATATAGGAACTATAAATAGACTATATAGTAATAGAAATTATTAACTTAAGTTAATGTATTATTAAATTCAATCTGCAAAATATTTAGCACAAATTACTCTAACAAATCAGTATTGCCCAAATCACAAAATGCTACCAAAAAAAAAAAAAAAAAAAAAAAAATACTAGGAATCATTAATTAGTATTTTTTTTAAATATATAATCTTTACGTAAATATTTCCATTAAAAAGTATATAATTGTTCTTTTAAAAATTATCAACTGAAATTTTGAAGTTAATTTTGAAATAAAATTAAACAGCAGAATTTTCTCTTTGTAAAAAATAATAATTTATCATTTCAAATTTATAATTTTTAGTAATTCAGAGTCATTACATACATGTACATGTATAAGTAATTTGAATTGACTAATTATTAATTACAGGTCACCCCTATCTAAGCGTACATTATTATCACATAATAGCAACGAGGAAAAATGTTGTATTCTAAATCGATTATTCGTTTTATTATTGATCATGAATACATTGTATTTCCATTTTAAATTTTAAAAGTTACGAAAATAGATATTCATTTATTGACACCATAAATTTCCTGACATTTAGAATTTTCACAAACATTAAATATGCTGTTGTGAAGGATTTGCCAACACTAATAAACTGACTTCAATTTAAACGAGTTAAATACCCCGCCTAGTGTAAATGATCCCAGCATGTTTACATTGTTGCCTGGCAATGCCGCAGTGTCCAAAAACTTGTAAACAACCAAAATGGCCGTCGAATGATTTACAAATACAAAATCATGAAAATGGATTTTGTATCGACTTTCGTGTTAATAAGTACCCTGTGTATATCAGTTTCCAAAGGTTCACTGCAGGCAGGTAGGAGTATATGGACATGTTATGAAATACTCAGTTTAATTTTTAATGAACTGAATTACATGCATTTGATAAATCTGCTGATTAAACAGCTTTTTGTTATTTTATTTCAATTAGTAAACAAGTCTGGCTTTCCGGAGAGCCTGCTTTGGTGTCATTAATGTCACGGAATAAACAGTGGAATATGACTTTTTTCCAGCTATTATTCAACCTGTATGAAAATTTATTCATTTCAAATATTGTTTTTTGAGTATAGTATCTGTAAAAAAAAAATTAACCATTAAGCAAATCGTAAAAAAAAAATGTTCATAGCTGTTCTGCCAAAAGGTGACTGAAACCTTATCATTCCTTTAGTCTTTATTTCACAATCGTTTACTCCGACTGCAGCCAAGGAATTTTAAATCGTTAACTGAAATCATTTTATTATAGCCCCGCAATGGATTTCCATAAATTGGATTCTCCTTAATCTTATCCTCCTAAGTGACTTTGCTATAGAGCTACTGGGAAATAAAAGTCACAATCATGGTCGTTAAATAACTAGTAAATAGATTCAAATATCCTTGCTACTTTTTGTATCGAGTCTACATGTACGTCCAATGACTTTTTCCCATTAACCAACGATGCAATTCACAGGTACAAAGAAAAAGATAACAGCTAGGTGCTTAAAATCTGAGCCAGGTGAAAATAAAAAAAAAATGTGTCTTCTCAAACTTTTATTCGAGGTTTACAATCTTATAACTATGAAATTAAGTTTTTAAAGGAAAAGAAAAATAAACAAATATTAATACATTGTATAGTGCAGACCTCGGCGAAAATACCCACTCTGCAGTGATTCTTGATGATCTTTAATTCAATGCCTGCAGAAATTGTACTTTTAAGTTCAAAAATTTCTTTTCGTCGAAATATTTTTGCTGAATACTGTTTAATTTAACACACGGCAGTGAGTTATCGAATGACTAAAGTACAGGAAAAACAATAAGTTTTTCGCCATTAGTTTGATTCATATCAATTGTATTTATTCATTTACACTAGAACATCACTTCCGGCTTTGAAAATTAATGTTTCGTCTCCCAAGGGGGATGGGAATAAGTGCTACTATTACAATTTCAATTTAATTTAGTTATATACTTACAGTATTTTTATGTCACACTCTTGTGAAGGAATGCAAGCATTTGTATTTGAGTTTTTAACATAAGTATAGTGATTTTCAATATATTGCCGGGTATACATTGTATCTATTGAAAAGACTCCTCATTTTCGTTTTCGTAGTAGATCTACATGTAGTTTATGGTAAAATATTTTATAATACTACTGAATTATTTTTATTTTTAAAAATTATATATTTTTTTAGAATGCATTTCTTCTTCCATAGCATGCATAATGATATTGAAAAGTTGATTATACCGATATTATCTGAATGTGAATACCCAACTTAAATGTTTTATGTATACTGTAGTTGCCTTACATTTCAAGCTAGAGTCTTATTTAAAAAAAAAGATTAATCATTCTTTGATATTACTGTTCTGTAGTGTACTTACCGTCAACATGTTCCTCGCCTCAGGCATCCTCTTTCACAACTAGCATGAGGGTACAGTCGAGCACTGCTCTGACGTACAGTAACGACGTCAACTGCGTCATCACCGTCACAGCGCCCTCTGGACACAAAGTTCTAGCCATACCTAGGTATGAAATTTCATTTTATCTTTTTAACAATGAATATTTATTTCATATCTAACACGTTTAACGACTTGAGACGTCTGGTTTCATGTAATAAATGTTCTGTAAAAGAAAAGAAAAAAGAAAGAGTTAATTGAAAATTATTTTGGATTACAGGAGATTTGAACTCGAAGAGCAAAGATCTGGAGCATGCGTGGACTATCTAAATTTTTACGATGGCACTTCTACTGGTTCTGCAAAGATAAATACGCAGCCTTATTGTGACAGAGCTGGACCGCATAATGTCAGCTCTTCCTCTACGGCAATGACCTTGGAATTTGTCACCGACAGTAGTGCGCGGTACAGGGGATTCGATATTATATTTGCAGCCATCAAAAATGGTAATTTTATGTTTGACGGTGTGACTGTTACGGCGAGCGCAGTTATACCTTATTATTTATTCACTTAACTTTGATCTGCCACTTCAAATAGCACAAGATTTTTGAAAGGTCAGGATTGTGATGTCACATAATTCGTATGTCAGAACTACAAATGTAGGATTCTAAAAGAGCGCTTTTAAACAAAGAACGTTTAATCTGCTTTCTATATGCAATTTTTTCTAAAGTAAGGCAAATTTCTTTCTTGATTTTTTTTTTAAATTTTGTTTGGGTATTGCAAGAACGTACGGTTTCTGGAGGATTGTGAGTACTGAGACTACTATTAATAGAAAAAAAGTCAGATGGTGCAAACCCTCTAAATTTTTTCCTCGCCCAAGTGTTGTTGTAAGAGATCCCTGCGCTGGCTATTATATAATTAAGAATAATAAGAGTTAATAGTAAACAGTTTTAGTGTCGATGAAATATTTTCACTTTGATGTGTTCATAAATACACTATTAATCATTCTATTAATGAACTTTACCTACTCCTTTCTCAAGTGAAACATTGATCACGTTTATTATTACAAAATTGGACCAACAATATGGGTCTCCGCTTTATATCGGAATTTATAGGAAACTATTATAGTAAGATCTTTTAGATGCTGGGAGATGGTTAATATTAAATTAAAAAGTCTGTGCCTGTTGCCAAATCTCATTCATTTTATATTATTGTTTAAATTAAAATATTTTATTAGTCTGTCTTCACAAGAACAGCCAAGTCACATATGGAAACATCTCAATAACATAGACTCAAGTTACTTTACGTTATGGTGTTTAGGGCAAAAATAGGGCCAGTAGGTCATGGGGGTTACTGGAGTTTTACAGGGGCACATGTTTTAAAATCTCATTGACAGGAGTTCCAAAAAAAATCAGTAACACTAGCATTCCATACGCTTAAAATGAACGATTTCAAAGAAGGCTAGGGGTGGGGCCATAGGGGAACAAATTTTTTCCAAAAAATAAATTTCCGCAGCAATAATGGTTAGGGCTACAACTTGTAAATCTGAAGTCTCCAGTATGCTGTACTTTAGTAATTCAAATTGATCCTAACAATGGACCTGAGTAATGGACCAAAAATCTATAAATCTACATCATAATTCATTTGTCAGGAGAAGAATGTTCGTTGACTCATGTGGACCTGTTGTTGCTTACAGACTTCTTGTTTTTATTTATCATCTTTTGTAGCCAACCCAATATCTAAATTTGTCCTTTCAGCACCATGTGCCACAGATTATTTCGGTTGTAGTAATGGACTCTGTGTAGACAGAACCTTGCGATGTGACAGTTTTAATCAGTGTGGGGACGAATCGGACGAAAATGCTTGCACAGGTAACCATAAAAACTGCTGAATTCTTTATATGATATATTCAAAATTTGTATATTAAAATCATGTTGTGTAATTTTGGAGAGCAAGATGGCAAGAAGAAAATAAACAACAGTCTTGTGTTTCCTATCTGATAGTGGTAGAGGTACTCTTAAGATTTATATTTCAGACTATTTTAAATCTTTTGTAGCGGAGGAGCTTGGTATTGTTGACGATAATTCAGCTCTGATTTATGGACTAGCATTTGGCCTGGGTTTTCTTGTTATACTAAGTATCCTTATTGGAGTTTTAGTTTACAGACATTATAAATGGAAACGTTTTTTGAGAGAACCTATACCTAAGGACCATTATCAAAGCTCTTCTAGTAACTATCCTGTCACCAAGAAATATTACAAACGAGCTTACCAGAATTATGCATACAAAAGCGTAGACTCACGACTTCCTTCGCGCATGTCCAATGACTTTGAAACGGATGACGACCTTGACGTGGGGTCAAGGCCTGTTTCGTCAACTTCATCCTCCAAACAGCATAACCTTACAGTTCCTGGACCAAACCACGGAAAAGTGAACTTAAAGACAAAAACGGGAGCTAGCAATTGTTAGCTAAAATTGTATTTTATCTTAAGATATTCTTACAATAATGTTGGGCTTTTGTCTTAAAACACCTTGTATGATAAAAGCGGTATATTTGTATATTTTTGCTCATGTTAAGGTGACAATTTCGTGTAAAATATTAGACAAATTAATATTTCATTAAGGCATAAAAGTTTGTTTCCATGTGTCATGAATAGTGCAATATAACACGAGTTATGGAACGTAGCCTTTCATTTATTCTACACCCAGTTCAATTTGTCATTATTCTAATCCTATTGAGAGCTCTCTATACACTGCACTAAAGGATTCTGGTTTTGTGGTATTTTTATGCAGATTGAATAATCTCCCTTTTGATCTACAATACAATAAATTGTAATGTACAGTGTATTACTTAGTTTGTGATCAAATGAAGCATTCATAACATTTTAATAAGCCAAGTTGAATAGATTGAACTCTTTATTTGCAGGTACATGTAATTTGCCCATTTAAAGTAAACAAAATTGTAGTGATTTCTGTTCATTAATACTTTATTGTCTTTGAACATTTTTCCAGGGGGTTAATGCAAAGTACCCTATATTGAAAATGTAAAAGATGTACTCAATATTTACACACTATAATTTACTCAAGGTCCAAAAAAAACTTTTCCTTAAGTGTATAGAGAGTCGTTAACAACTGTGCAATGCAAGCAAATATTTAATGAATAAAATTCTTTGTTTTTCTGTAAATTACAAATCATTTTTCGCTGGCGAAAATTATTATATTAATATATATTAATCATTTAATAAAGTGAAAAAAAACGTTTTGTGTTGTGTGACAAATTTACTTAATTCTTTGAAAATACTGTGATATACAAGTAGAGAACTTTCCCACGCTATTTTATGTACATTCTGGACAGCTGTACACACTTGCGTACTTGTATTTGTTGGAATTGGATGAAAATACCTTTTATTTATCGCCCAAGTATAGATTTTAATCAAAATGTTATATTAGTGGGCGATAGTCCTCATTGTCTACCAGACTGAACATCGCGATGTTAACTTGTACTTGCTGCACTTCAATAAGTTCCGACTATACTTCCATGACGTTCAAAGCCATCTCAGGTCATCTTTGATCTTCTAGTGCGTTTTCAAAATCACGTGCTTGAAAATCAAGTACTTTTCACGGAAGTTCTAGTTCGAAGGGTCACTTAAGCACTCTACCGAGTGCCCAAATTGCAAGTGTCTCTTATGCATGTTTGACCTTTAACGTTTACACTGGAAATTAATTACTATTTAGTTCACTTTATTTTGTTTCATGAAAAATAAATGCATGCAAAACTGTTGATAAATATACTAATTTTAATAAAACAAAATTTAATAATTTGAATTTTACATCTGAGTACATAATTATACTTTTAAAGTTAAAAGACATTGCAGCATTATAATCAGCGATGCTCTCTCAAATGACAACCATCGTTTGTCAGCAACTTGGTCCAGTCATTGGCAAAGTTGATATCACTCGCTGATATGATAGGTTTTTGTTTTTCAGTCATGCCTTGATTTTTGCTTCTCGATCTATCCTCATTGTTTCGTTTGTTCTGTCCGGTGTTATCTCGGCTAAATATCTGGTCTTCTGGTGTAGACTGTAAGGGACAAACTGTTGCCTGTCTCAGCCGAACTTTTCCACCTAAAACACGATGTAGACGCTTAGCTTTACTTAAAAAAAGGAGAGGGAAAGGTCAGATGGGCATAGTGCTAACATAAGCGTGCCCGGGGGGGATTACACACACACACACCCTCACACACACAACAAACAAACACACCAACTAAGTTTTCGCCTCCACAAAAGCCATTTGTAATTGAGAGTGGTAAGATGATGAGGTGGGTGAAAGTTCGAAACGTTGAACGCCATCACCAGGACACTGATATGACAAATCTATTTTTCATTTTTAAATGTTTTCAGTCAAAGGGTGTACTAGTAATTTATATTACAAGTTCAGGGGCGTAGCTTCCATTGTGGCAATGAGGCAACTGCCTCACTAGATTTTTCAGCACCACCCCCTTTCTATAATTTAATTTTGATTTGTTTTTTCTTTAGGCTCCTCTGTTAAATCCTTTTGAATTTATAGTATTATATGCACGATGAAGTCTTCAATAACGAAACCGATAAAATTTAATATGAACTGAATTTCTGTCCAGGACAGGTATGAATTTTGCATTCTAAAACCCCAAAATTCATTTTCCATCAGGGGGCTTCACCCCCTGAACCCCCACCCCACCCCACCCCACCAGGGTTCCGCCCTGAACTTGCTGGGAGCCTAAGGCAACATCCAGACCCCAAGCCACAATAGTTTTTCCTCACTAGAATTTTAAGTCAAGCTACGCCCCTGAAGTTGCGTTTTACTTCCTCAAATATATTATAATTTCCTTTGGGAATCAAGGATGTAGATATTGATGTACTACCTTGTTTTTCCGGCTCGTGCTTTCTCGGAAAACATGGTAAAATCTGCTTTGTAATCTTCCCTGAATAACCCTGAGAAGTCCCGCTCGCTGACCAAATAACAATAAGATTGATCAAATATATACACTGCTTTTAATTTTTTTTCATGTTCTGTTGAAACTATGAGAAATTCAAATGAAACCTAATTCAAGAGGATATTACAATGTAGTCATCATTTATGCTTACATGTACCAATGAGCGAGTTGCTGTCTTCTTTTGCCATAGTGGTCGGGTGTTCCGATTCACTTTCCTGAAGTTCCCTCCAAGCTGCTGCTCCAGTTGGGCTTGGCTGATAACCACCTTGGAATATCATTATTTACTTAAGGCCAAAATATAATTCCAGAGAAATGCATGGAGTTGAAAAAAAATTTAGTAAAGTAAAAGGATCAAAATTAAATTTACATTGATTGTTTTCCTTGTATATCTTTCACATTCCTTGGATATGCCCTCTCGTGTTTAATATATAATTATATTTATAAATATATATCTACACAAATACTTCAAAACAAAGCGATATCTTGTAACGACCAAAACATGGCCAGTGAAAGAGATCTCGTTTCAATTTCGCATTTTCTTTACCTGCGCAACAAGTACTACAACTGCAACATTTCAAACACATAACAGAACATGGGATGCATGTACCACATGCCCTCACGCATGGATGATTGCGCAATCGTCCCATCCGCCAGATCAGGTATCCAGGCCTCCAAAAGCACCAGAAGAAGAAAGCAAAGATAGCAACCAGACCTAAGACTACATACAGGGCTGAGTAGTCAGGTTCCGTTGGTGGCACTGGGGGAGGAGGGGTGGTCGTTGTGGTAGTTGCAATCTCTGATAAAGAGATACGCATTTCAAGGTTTACTGTTAACTTTTTAAAAAAATAATTTTGACTTGTGAATTTTAGCCCTGTATTACTTTCAGAGCAATAGCACGTTTAGGCACGTAGTATCGTTTCTAAAAGTGGGGCGGGTGGGGGGGGGGGCAGAAAAAAATGACAACTTAAAAAATACTTTGACAAGCAAAAGAAATGGAAAATTATCCAAACTCGAAAATCCTATTTCATGAAAAAGGGGGGGGGGATTTAGGTCCCAGCTTCCTTCACAGCCAAATTTTATTCAAATATTACAACATTACCCTGATTTGATTATACTGCAACAAAAAGTGGGGGGGGGGGGCTAATCTTTAATAAACATTTTCAATTAAACATTAAAAGATTATGCTTTGAGAATGGGGGGGGCCCTTCCTACATGTATCTCCCCCCCCCCCCCGATACTACGTGGAGTTTTTCCACGCTAAAGCACAATCTTTCGATTAGTCTTTAACTTATAATTAAGACAAGGTAATTTAAAATTTTCATCTAAATGAGCAGCAGTTTTAATTATGTACATTTTATCTCAGTTATTTCTTGATATGAAGACTTTAATGAGTGCAAAATTGTTGTAGTTACTGAAGCAGTTTCCTGGCATCTTTCTACTTGTATCCGAATTATCACGTGGGTAGGATTCTGATTGACAGTTGCGGGAAAACCAGAAATCACATCGTAAAGAGTCATCTAAACAGCGCTTGCTGTCGTTACATAGCATTACAATGCCCTCTTTCGTTTCCGTACATTCTAAATTGAAAAGAAATTGCAAAAGATCCATCACATTTGTAACTGCACATTAAACGGCATATATATATATATATATATATATATATATATATATATATATATATATATATATATATAGGGATGGCAATTTGTAACCGGTTAACCGATTACTCGGTCGGAAGGATGGTAATCGATTAGAAAATCTGTAATCGGTTAATCGGAAAAAATAAAATATTTGTTATATTGAACACATTTTTAAAAAATTTATTTAAAAAAAGAAGAAATCTCTGCACAAAGGATGATCATTTAGGATTTAACGGATCTAATTTGGACGTACATGTAATTATGAATCTCCAGATTGAGACCGTAGCGTAATTGGTCAGTTTATAGTGTTAATTACTGTGAAAACACCATGTCGTTACCCCTACTGTCCTGTAATTCTTTAATGATAATAATTGAATCATTGAGCACTGTGAATGGGCGTGTTTGTCGTTTTCAGTTTTCTATCCAATTTAATTATTAAACAAACATTGTAAATTAAGGGCTATAGAGTTCACATGTCGTTTTGATTATCATAGTGAAAATGCAGAAAGAACTTTTTTTGACATCTGCTTTGGAAAATTATCAAAGATTCCTTTGGGTTTTTTCATTGTTTTTCTCAATGTTTTCTTGTCTACTGAAAAAATATGTACCCGTAATTTTCTGATCCAGAATCAAGACTAATGGAATGTTTTAACTTCTATCGTCTTATTTGGGTCTATTTGTGTATATGGACAGAGCTACTTGTAAAAGAATTGTCAAGAAAACGTACATTTTGATACGATTAACCGGTTAATCGGTCGGAACGTCTGGCGGTTAACCGATTAGTAATTCTGTAATCGATTGCCATCCCTAATATATATATATATATATATATATATATAATTCTTAGATGTCTCATTTAAATTTTTGGATTTTAAAATCTATAAAAAATTATTTTACATAATTCGGGAATGAATTCCCACAAATCTTGCTCTTCATACATTTAATATTTCCTCACCGTAATCAAAAGAGGTAATGTCAAGACGGAAAAAGATCTCAGAATATGTGAAATTGGAGGAACCATCAGCTGTTGGAGTGGAAGGGGAGCGATAGTCAACGTAGAAAAACAGTGTCGCGTATTCTCCCTCCCATTCAATGTGCGTGGGCAACGCTCCACGACCGCAAAATGTCTCCTGGTCCGCAACATTAGTTCCCTTGCCTTTGTAAAGTGTAACGTACGCTTTCCCACATCTTTGGGGGTCTTTTTCTATGTTGTCAACTTCTGGTGCCTTGAAACGGAAGTTTCGCCAATAGACGGACATATACCTTTTCTCCCCCGTAGAAGGCGCCCCACGGACTGTTATGGTGCACTGTAATTCCTTCCCAATTAAATTTGGCGGAACAAACTTTCCATCAGTGGCTAAAATTCCATCTTTGTCAAACTCAAGATACGCACCAAAGTCCGGTCCTATTTCTTGTCCACAGATGTCCGTAACAAAATCTAGGTATTGAAATATTTAATTAAACAACTGAGGAAACTCAAATTGAATATTTTGATTTAAAATTTTGTAGGAAAAAAAGTTAAGTGAATACTTACAACGTATATTCCCCGAGTGGACTGTTGGTAAATACATCACATTAAACATTAAAAAAAGAAAGGGGTATGACAGAACTGTCATTTTAGATTGACTTTAGGTTGATTGAAAAATTTTCTCCGTCTCTTGTTTTAACACGTTTTCTTAAAAAAATAGAACTAGTTCTATTCGTGCTGTATGTCTTGTGGGACTAAACAAAATTAAAGCTAGGCTAATGACACATTGTAGCAACACTTTTTGATGCAAATGATGAAAAGTATTAGATCAGTAATAAAAAAAAATAATTCTCATGGATCTTCCAAAGAAGAATTTATCTGCAGCTGAAAATTTAATACGTATTGACAATAGCAGGTTTACGATCGTATTTCTACCAGTTCAGCATTGTATTATGAATAGTAATAAATGTATTTATGAAGCTTAAATCAATTTAACGATGTCCTCGAAGGTGATTTCCGTCATACGATAGAAGTTTAATCCATTCTACTTCAATATTTGTCTTGGTCCGACTTGTTTCCGTGACGCGGGCCTCGCCAAGTGCTGGGATCACAACGCTTCCATCGAACTGCTGAATAGGAAACACTTTGTTTGATACAGGGCGCCTGTCTGTGACGGCTGTCATTGAAATAATTCCACTGGCATCGTTGTCTGTAATAATTACATTACACATGTTTCACAGTACGAGAAAACTAATAATAATATGACTTCTATTTAAAAAAAACAACAACTAAGTAATGTTGAAAAAATAGAATAGAATACCACAAGATTCTGCAATGCTATTGGTAGAGGAAATTTTTCTATGCTTCTGTAACCATGGGGATGGACCCGAAAGACAAACACTATAACCTTCAAATAGAAATTACTGCATTTAAGGGACTTTTTTTTCTATATTACATATATTTTCGTTCATATTCAACCACACCATAATATCACTTGAACTTCTTACTATATAAAATAAAATGATCGTTTTAAATACAGTGTACACTTAGATAAAAAAGATATCGAAAAACGTCTACCATTATACAGTATAAGATATATATACACATTATCAGATAAACACGCTATAACTTGCGTCAGTTAAAAATAAATCTGTAAATTTATTTATTTTGTTTACCAAATAAAGTAAAGAAAATATTGTAAATTACACAATTGGAAATGAACGAATTATAAAGATCTCAAATTATAATTATTTATTATCCTACTAGGATAGTAATCCCTATATTTTAAATTCATGCATCATGTGACACCGTCGCTACTTCTAGATTGATAAACAAAAATGGCGTCAAGAAAACGAGGTAGGCCGTTTGGTATACAAAATAACTTTTGACATGGATGGCATACGTTTTATGCTTAAAGATACTTATCTTTGAAAACAACCAGTATTAACTATCTACTCTGTAATGACAGATATTAACTTTTATTCAAAATCGCAGTCAAAATGCAACGAAACTCGTTGTCTATGATTTCCCGCGGACATGCGTGTCTATATACTGTTTACGCACTTCCTTCATCAATATTCATGAATAGATTGAATTCTTAAATGCAGATCTTGCTTAATTGTTTTGTAATTACAACGACTTATTTAGTAAAACTTTGTGGAAAGCATTATTTTTTATTACACATCATGTTTTTCAAATCATTTAATCATTTTGTTTCACATAAAAAATCGCGTTTATATAGCGTGTATATCTTTAAGAAAGTGGATGTTAATCAGCACTTGGTGTATAATTACATCTCAAGCATCTTTTGTTCTGACATGCTAAACATGTTCGGCAAAAAGGAATATTCCGGAAGCGTGCACATCTCCATGGGAGATAACCGGGCCTCCAGCAGCACCAGATCGAGGCTATTGCCAGAATGATGATACCGAAGCTGAAGTAGATAGGTCTGAGATCAGGAGGATCTGGACGTGGAGTTTGAACAGGTGTTGTAGGAAGAGTTGTTGTACCTTCTGCCAAGCAAAGAAATAACCATTAATTACACAAAAATCAGCAAAAGATCAGACAAAATTGTATGTCTTTCTAGTAATAGGCAGAATAAATTACAACGTGACTAAAACATATAATAAAAACATTTTTAAAAAAAAAGAAGTGAAGAGGTTAATCATTAATTACTGAAACAGTTTCCAGGTGGATTTATGGCTACATCTGAATCGTCTCTAGGGTGGAGACTGGAACGGCAGTTTCTTGACAACCAGTTATCACAGCGGAGGGAGTCATCCAGACATCGTCTGCTCTCATTACAAAGCATCACCACCCCTGGAACACTGTCATTACAGTCTGACCAAAAACATATTAGGGAGTTTCATACACGAGAAAATACAAACAATATGATTAATTTAGATGTTCGGAAGTGCATGCATTTCATCTCTTAAAAAGTAGAAACATACCGTAAGTAAACGATGTAACGTCAAGTCTGAAGAAAACGTCTGGATATGGATACGGGTCTCTAGCGATCGTTGTTTGATTGACTTCCGTTTGTGACTGAATATTTTCTTGAACAGTTATATTTTTTCTGAAGTCAATGTAAAATTTTAATGTTATGAATTCGGTTCCTTCAAATTGATAGAAAGATGGAAACGCACTTCCCCCGCAGAGTGTGTACTTCTCCGGGGCTTTTACGTCTTTGCCGTTATAAATTGTTAAGTATGCCTTTCCACAGTTAGCAACCGTATTTTCAATTGTTTCAAGAGTCTTTTCTTTTAGTGTAAAATATCGAAATGACAGGGACATGTGTCGTTTCTCTCCGGTAGATGGCATTCCTTGCAACAGTATAATGCAGTTAAATTCTGTTCCCTTGACGCGATCTGGTACTGTAATGTTATTGGTTTTCCATTCTATGTCGGAGTTTCTATCGAACTCTAAGTATGCACCAAAGTCTGGTCCTATTACTTTCCCACAAAAGTCGGTCACAAAGTCTATAAATACAAGCAAACTGAGAGAAAAAATAATTTTAGTTCATGACCTAAATTTATCCATTTAATTTTTATAGTCTACTACTTTGACATATTCAAAATGGAGCATTAAAAATGATTAGAAACGCTGTGAAACATTCGAAAAATACAGCAAAAATGAAACAATAAGAAAAAAAAATATCCTCTTTTGATTTTAAGTGGAATACAAACAAACTATACGATACCAGAAAATAAATAAATGAATAAACAAGATAAATAGATAGATGAATAAAACAAAATATATAAAAAAAAGAATAATAAAAATAATTTTAAAAACTTTAATGATTTATTTGCTTGAAACTGAATGATGTGTAATTAAAAAGTACAAATATGGTATGATTAAAAAACGTTTTAAACAAAACTTACATCTACGATTTCCCGCAGTTACAAACGAGAAAATCAAACTCTGCAGGAACAAGCACCTGTCCATGACACCTGTATACGTGGAATATGGATGAAACACCAGTTCTATGGCCATTATAATGACTGGGGTTTAAAAAAATCCATTTCAATTCATGTAACTGCGTAAGATGTTTGATTTATGTATGATGAATTTATTAATACTGCTTCTAAGATTTTCCTCCAATGAAAGAAGTTTTTGCGAAACCGAAGATTTGTATGAAAGAAATTAGACTATGACTGCTTCAAAAACCCTACCTAAAATGATGAATAGAAATAAAGCAGTCTTGTAGTTTCATTGCTGTAATGCGTTTTTAAAAAAGATATCACTACATGTTTTATTCAAAAGAACAAGGGTGAATATACCAATTGATGTACTCGAACACCGTTATCTCGAATACGATGGATATACATGTATGCATGGAAAAGAACCTGCATATCAAACCGGTTTATATTTAAATTTAATCTCCTCGAAAGGAGCTAATAACACACTTTAATTCATTTTTCTTCACCATGCAATAATTTTTTTCGAAATAATTTTCTGTGATAAAGTATTGATCTGTACAATTCATATCATATTAACGAAAAAAAAAAATTAAACTTGCAATATACAGTATTGAGTAAGTTCCAAAAATTTGATTTTGACTTTTACGCAGTCGAACATCCTATGCTTGTTCTTTTATTGATATTTCTTGCAGTAAATCCTTTTTTTTCGGCAGGTGTATAAAGTATTCAATTACAGTCTAAATTACTAAAATTGTTTTTTTTTTGTTTTTTTTTTTTTGTTTTGTTTTTTTTTTTTTGTAATTTGTTATTACAATATGTAAAATATTCTTATCAGTGATGTCTACAACTCCCAGCTATATTGTGCGTTCATGTACTTATCGACTAAGACAGAAATCCTTATCGGATAGAAAGTTCTGGTTTAGTTGTTTTGATCATTATAATGTTGCCGTCCAATCTTCTTTTTGAAATTATTATTTTATACGGAACTTTTATTTGCTGTCTTGGAAATCATGAGAAAAAAGGTAGGAATACCTAAAGAATGTTTAATACCATTTGGTAAATATAAAGTTTAATCTTCATGTCGACAGCATATGTATTAATACGTATTATTTTTCAGTTTATATGGAGGACTACTGTGATAAGAAAATAAAGATAACATCCGCTCAGGAGATACACCTTTCTAAGGACGTATTTTACCCCACAGGGTGGAGATGTCAAACTACAATAGAAGCTCCCCCAAATCACGTGATCTGGTTCAACTTCCATTACTTTGATGTAGGAAGGCCTTCCGTGATATACTGTACTGACGTATTAAGGATTTACGATGGTTTGTAGCATCTCATTACCCCCTCCCAATTCCTCCAAATTGGAGAAAAATACAAAAAAAGAGAATCACAAATGTTGCGACAACGTTGAGACGTAGATAATTTACATGTACAATGTCATGTGACAAATTTGAGCATGATATAAGCAAATCGACAACATTATGCATAAATTATCCCACGTTTCCAACTATCGTTGATGTCCCTGGCATTCTCTACTAACTAGACAGTGATTCCTTATATTTCCATTTCATTGTGAAATAAAATTGTAAATTTAGATTTTAAATGTAAACTAATAGATTTAAATTACACGAGGCCTCACATGTCAATTTCAATAGTCCCCGCCCACTGACGTCAAACACAAAGAAAGCCGCACGAGAATTACATGCATATTAGGCCTTCTTAGCTCCTGACCTTTCGCTTGGCAAAATTTGCATTCCGGTGGAATGATCAAGAATGATCAAGAAATCAACTCTCCTAACTTTCAAAGAGTTATCACAGAAAAAACAAATAGAAATGGAAATATATATATATATATATATATATATAAGTTTTCAAAGGGTGTTTGCCTCTCCGTCTTTATTCCAATGAAAAGCAGACTGGCATTTCTTATATCTTAATTTACAAGTCGTATGACGGACAGATGATGATGGCAAAAAGCACGTCTTCTCCTAGCTGTTTTGGACTGAGACATAAACAATGTAACATAACATAATGCTTTGAACATTCTTTACATATAATTACATACTAGTATATGAAGTGAGATGTTTCAAAAACAAAAGCTAATGCAGTTTTCCTCTTGAAGTCTGTACAAAAATAAAGTACTTGATGTATTGACAATACCTGCAGAATACGTATTACATTAATTAGTAAAACAAATTAATTACCAAATTTTTCACGTTTCACAGGTGACAGTACTCGGTCTCTTGAGATTTCGCCGAATAAAGGTATGTGTGGACGGTATATTCCTAGACCTATAGCTACTAGTGGTAACCAGGCAACGTTTAAATTCAAGAGTATGGTAGTTACAACCAGTACTGGGTTTAAGTTAATTGCAACAGTCCAAAGAAGTAAGTCATACTTTTTTGTTGTTTTTTTTTACTAAGCCAAAACTTAAGGGCTCATGTAAGTGGTCTGATTTGAATTTCAACGCAAAGTGTAAATCGTAAATCTTTAAAGGTTTCATGTTTTACTGAAGTGTCAATATTGTAGAGCCCGAGAACAAGATCTGCTCCAAGAACGAATTTCAATGTCTTGACGATTTCTGTATTGACAAAAGTCTGAAGTGTGATCGGGAGATTAACTGCCGGGATCAATCCGATGAGTCTGCGCACTACGCCGGATGTGAAGGTAAGTCCTTATGTACCGTGCCTTTATTAAATAAAAACATGACATTATTTGTCATGTTTAATTTTGTATATTTACTGATGGAATGCATTTATACATTTATGCTTATAAAATAATTTCAATTAGAGAATGCTTTAAAACTTTTTATTTACATCATAATGTTGATTTCAAAGTACAGCATACGTGTATGTATTTTAAAAAGATTTCTCAAATTATATTTATTTTTGACACACAACAACAACAACGGCAAAAATCCATAAATTAAATTTAATACATGCATGCACACCGAAACAATGCTTTACAGGAGCATATGGATAGGTAACGATTTTATCAGTATTTACATTTGTAACAAATATTAAGACACTGTTGTGACGAATGAGGGAGTCGTGCTTTAGAACGCTTTTGTATCTCATAAAGCTGTTTTCTTTGTCTTGTCTTGTTTACTTTCTTTGTTTTCAGATTAAGTTTTTTTAAAATTAAGTTTGGTGCATGTTAATCACTGTTAATGTTAAATTCGCCAAAAAAGCATTTAAATTCTTTCAATTGCCCCTTTTCTATGAAATCTGGCTTTAATTCATTTTTTTTTTCAAAAGTGCCAACAGCAACGACTCCTTCAGACAAACCTACCAAGACGCACCTATCATATCATGTTAAGTTTGTTGCTATAACAATGAACCTCCACAAGGTTACATCTCAAGGTCATGGTGATTCAAATGATCAAATCATCGCCCTCAAACTTTGAAAACAGGAATGATAAAATAGTATTTTCATTGAAATTTTGTGATTGTATCTCATACTCAGTATTGTTTGTAAAGAAATTCAGATTATGTCATCGATAATTTTAAAAGAATACAGTTATAAATGTAGAATCAATGCACCATTTTCATAAAAAAAGAAAGAAACAAGGAATTAAATAATCAGATTGAATAATTGATTGGCTGAAATCCAACATTGTATAAATCATCGTTATGTTCACTTAGCTGTACGAGCCTTTTGGGCTCGGTGAATATTGTACTCCTCGCGAAGCTAAATAATCTTTAGTTACTGGCCTCGAAAATGCAATAATTGCATGTTTTCCTTGATATCAAATAGCAGTGTCGACCACAGAAACTGTTAATAGATTTTTTTAAAAAATGAAATCAAGAGAAAAAGCTTTTGATGTTATCAGAATTTCATATTGAAAATTCAAGTTCATAATTCATTTTTCTGGTAAATAATACCTTATTTTAGTATATACTGTTGCAAAAAACCTATTTTTCAGGACTGCTTGCAAAATGGACGGATTTAAGCACAGCTGCAAAAGTTGGAATAATTGTGGGAACGTTTACTGCATCTTGTTTGCTTCTGTGTTTACTGGTGATATGTTGTTGTTCCTGTTCCTCCTCATCGAGGAGATATAAACGACTTAAAGATTGAAAATGCCAGAATTTACTCGAAAAAAAATCAACTTTTTTGGAAATTAACCTTTCTAAAAGTCGATACAATCGGTTAGAAACTCTGTAATCGGTTCGTTGAAAATAAAAAAAAAAATATATGTAACATGTAATTTGAACGCAGTTTTCTTAAAATTCATTTTTGAAAAAGAATACTTTTTTTACTTAATAGCTTGTATTTATTATTTTGATGAGCCAGTTGGCTTAAGGAAATAAAGAAATTTGAAACTTGATAGATAAATTAGCGTTTTCCTATATCTATAATTTAAGGTGATTTAAAGGTAATTATGGCTCTACTGATTGAGATCGTGGGGTAATTGGTCAGTTTGTGAAGTGTAAATTACAGGTTAAACACCATGTCGTAGCCATGACTGTCCTGTAATTCTTTAATATTACATCAATTAATTTATCATTGAGCACTGTGAATTGGTATGCCTATTTTTTAGTTATTTATTGAGCTATATTATTAAACAAACATTTTCAATAAAATGATAGATCAGACTTAGTTCTGATTATGGTACATGTAACAATGCAGAATGAATTTGTGTGACATCCAGCTGTACTGGATAATATCAATGGCGATATCTCAGGCATGTTTCATGACTTTCTCTCGTTTTTCTCATCTATTAAAATAAAATCTACATAGATGAAGTTTTCTGATCAAAATAAACAGAACGTTTCTAACTTCTAATATCTTTTTTTAGACTACTTGGCTGAAAAAGATGTTAGAAGCTTATTTATTTTGATACGATTAACCGGTTAATCGGTCGGAACGTATCCAATTGCCAACTCTAATATATATAATATATATATATATATATATATATATATATATATATATATATATATATATATATATATATATATATATATATATATATATATATATATATATTGTTTGTTTGTTTTGAACATATTTTATTGTAATAATACATACAAAAGGATTGGATGCAAGTTCTTTCAACTTAATAAATCCTCTCCTTATTATACAAACAATGAATACAATATGCTTGTCATAATAAATAAATAGAGATAATTAACGAAAATTTATGTTGTACATGTAATATATATATGAAAATTATAAAGACACATACTCTGAGTAATCTACCAGAGCTCTAATGTTACATATACACTGATTACAATGTTTTTGAACAGAAGGCTTTCATATTTGCTAAAACATTTAAAATTTTCATTCTGCATATATATATTGAAATCAAAGACACTGTTTTGAATTAGAATCTATCTGATTCTCGAATAAATTTCTGGACACTACAGAAAATTTGAATACTTACATCGGTAGACAAAGATTCGTTTCCACACAATAAAAAATGAGTATCTATTATATTTTGCTGGTTAAGTTGAAGAATAGTGTTTATTAAGTCATTTCTTGGACGTTCATATTTCTTGCATACAAAGAAAAAATGATAAATGTCTTCAGTTTGACCGCAAGTACATTTGGGGGAAGAAATTCTATTTCTCCGATACAAGTCGCTATTTAAGATACAATTATGTCTTAGTTTAGTGTGAATTATATTCCAAAAACGTTTTCCATCTGAAAAATAAGAGGGAGGTTTAGAGGATGGTGTACAAATACTTTTCTTAAATTGATTGATGGACTTTAATTCCCTCACTCCCAGACTGAGAGAATTCCAGTTGTTAATTACGTCTGGGACAAAGGATTTTTTTTAAAGATTTCAAGTCTACATTTCGGAATTGTGTAGTTTTCTGTGTTACGAGTATTGTATGATGAAATGTTCCCTCGAGTATTTGGAAAAATCTCATTTAAGTAATCAGGGACAGTGTTATTATGTATTTCAAACATTGTAGTTAATTTAGCTTTCTTCCTTCTCTCTACAAGAGGTTCCCATCCCGTTTCTGAATAGAGCGATTCACTAGAAAAAAAAATGGGGAGACCTGTAATGATTCGTGCGGCAGTAAGTTGGACTTTTTCTAGCTTTTCAATATCATATTGTGTACATCCATCCATCTATATATATATATATATATATATATATATATATATATATATATATATATATATATATATATATATATATATGGTGTATTACGTGTATGTCATATTTTATTATATTATTATTATTATTTTTTGTAGTTCAATTACTTAAGGACTATTCATATTTCTAACTGCAATCTTAGTGAAAAACGTTGATCGTGAAACTTGACTATATTCAATATGAAATAAATCATATAATAAAATATAAGCGCCACCAGACACACTTTTTTCAGCTTTAATCGTAAATAGAGAAGTTGGATAATTGACATATAATTGGTTTTTCTCTCTTCCTTATGTATCTATTGAAGTTGACACATTACAATAGTAAACATTTCACGATTCGCTAAATTCAATGTCTAGATATTTTGTAAAATTGAGTATAGTTTTATGAAATGTACAATATATATTGTAATACTTGTGTAAGTCTTAATTACTTTTAGTATGTGTAATGCTGCATATTGCGGAAAAATAGTAGACCCACTCTTACAAATGTGAGAAATAGTTCGAAAACAACTTTAAAATGAAGTGCATGAAAGTAAATTTATGATAAGTGGAAGGAAACATTTCCATCGCATGCACTCAAACAAATTTGTAACGGACACAAAACAGCGACAGTAAATGAGTAGCTTTCAACATTCAGCCTTGTGCCAACACAGGTGAAGCTTTTAAAACTCTCTGTGGCGCGAATGTATGCTCCAATTAGCAAAAAAAACAAAAACAAAAACAAAACAAAACAAAACCCATTTTATTTCTATTGAGACATTGCTCAATCTATGTTCTCTAGTGCGTACTGAGGAGTACGGCCTTATTGTCGTTTCCAGCATGTATTTTCTCTTGTTCAGTTGTGGTCATCAAGTCAAATTGTTTTTTTCCTAATATCAACTAAATCGCACATTTTTAATATACAAGCTCTCTTCGATGTAAACACAGTCATTGAGTCATTGAAGACTTCCTGTGTAGATTTTAACCAGTCTTACATATTTGACAGCACAGGCTCTTCTTCAAATATTCTTCCACTGATTTGGAAGCCATAAGGGTTATCACCAGCCGTCGTGCTTTGAGACGAATTCCAAGTTGTAAGATTTTCTCTGTTCACAATTAAACTGAGAGTGCTGTAATCCGAATTTCCTATGTCATTCAGTGTTTCATTAGGTCCAGCCTCTGAGTGATCAGTAACATTTTCTTCATTCACACCCTAAATAGGAATTTGGTGATCTTGACATCACAACGCAAGAATAGACAAAGGTAACATAAGCAGAGAGTCCGATAAAAAGAGCAAATCTTTAAAAAATTAAAATGTAGTACAAGTGGCTAGGTCATAGGAAAGCGGAGGAACAAAAAAAATCTTTCATTTCATATATTTACTTATTCAAATATTTAGCTGCAAGCATAGTTACAAAAGTGAAATACATTGTAGGATAGCTTATGTACAGAAGCCCGTTGAAGCCAGATCAGAGAAAGAAATAATTTTTATTGCGTTTAAACTCAAAGCACTTTGCGTTTAATCTCAAAAGATTGCGATTAAACGCAATTTTTTGCGTTTAAACGCAATACCTTTTGCGTTTAAACGCAATGATATTTTTGCGTTTAAATGCAATACTTTTGCGATTAAACGCAATAATTTTTGCGTTTAAGCGCAAAATTTCTGCGACTAAACGCAATAATTTTTTGCATTTAAACGCAATTATCTTTATGTTTAATGGAAATCATTTCTATCAAACTTTGCAGAGTACAATGGACCAACGCATACTGTATTGTTTAGCTTTATCTGATTCTATAAAGCTAAACAATACAGTATGCATTGTTTCAAAGTTTCAAAGTTGAAAAAACAACAAAAAATGAAAATATGATTTGTGTTTGTAAGCAACTGACCTAAACTTCGTGAAGAATATAGAAATCTATACAGCCAGACTTTTTTTTCCTCCTTGAATTCATATCAGCAATTTATCCTTTTAGAGAGCGTTTGCTCGGAGGAATCTGATTCTATAAAGCAAAACACTGCACAATTTCCTAATAAGTGAAAAAGAGAAAGAAATAAAAAGATATCAATATGTGTTGGTCCATTGTAGTCGATACAATGATTATCTTTAAACATTACGATTATTGCGTTTAAACTCGAATGATTATTGCGTTTAATCGCAAAAGTATTGCGTTAAAACGCAAAAAAACATTGCATTTAATCGCAAAAGTATTGCATTTAAACGCAAAAATTATTGCGATTAAACGCAAAACTTATTGCGATTAAACGCAAAAATTACTGCAATTAAACGTAGAAAGTATTGCAATTAAACGCAAAAGTATTGCGTTTAATCGTAAAAGTATTGCGTTTAATCGCAAAAGTATTGCGTTTAAACGCAAAAGATTGCGTTTAAACACAATCTTTTGCGATTAAACACAAAGTGCTTTTCGTTTAAATGCAATGACCTTTGCGATTAAACGCAATGCTTAGCGTTTAAACGCAATGATTATTGCGATTAATCGCAAGAATTATTGCATTTAAACGCAATTAAAAAATTTTTCTCTGATCTGGCCTCAGCGGACTTCCGTTCTTATGATATATATCCAAGAAATTGTACACAAAAACTTGTTCTGAATTTAATTTCTGCTGTAAGTACATGTAATACATTTATTACAATACTTTGAGAAACAAATATTTGTCACTTAAGACTTTCAATGTAAATTCAAAGGAAATTTTTCTTTGTCATTCTACTATGAAAAAGGTGAAGATAACGAACAATAATAAGCCTTTAAAAACTTACAAACAATACAAATCGGTGAATAGGATATAAAACACGGACCCGAGAAATTCCAGAGGTGGATGAGGTACCTAGGAGAAGTAGGCATTCCCTGTGGACCGGTCACACCCGCAGTGAGCCCAATGTGTTGATCAGGCAGAGGGAATATTCCGTGGGCAAATTTAATATAAAAACGAAGGCCTAACAATTGGTATAAAATATGTCAAACAAAATACGATCTTATGATAGGTTACATTTTCTAACAAGGTCATTATAACGACCATAGCATTTACGAAATGCTGACTTTGAACGAGGTTGTCGAAATCTCGGTAACATCAACTTATCTGTCAGTAGTCTGCCTCGGTTTAAAAGTTGAACGTACTCCTGAGTTTCGAATAAGCTGGGAGACAAAAACACATAATGTATTGAATGATTATTCCTGAACACTGAGTCAGCAATATTTCGGCGGAAAACATATGGAAGAAGGTATCACACAATGTCAACAAATCTTATCAGGACAATTATTAAGTCACCATCCGTTAACATTTGAACATTTTCAGCTTCTTCTTCGAACCAATTTCAACCAATTTTGGAATAAAGTATCTTTTGGTTAAGGGAACAAATTGTGAATTTCAATGTCCATGCCACCTGGGGCCTGAGTGTTGAGACTAAAACCATCAAAAATAGTGAAATCTTTAAAAATTTTCTTTACTACTGGATATCAAGCAGTCAAAATGTTGACATGATTGTAATAAGCATTGAGTCCTCTACCAAAATGGTGAAATTCGTGACCCTAGGGTCAGGGTTTCTGTTGCCAGGGCGAGGCTATATGGATCATAGAGTGAAAGTGCATTATTTCTTATCTGCTCCTGAGTATTAAACAAATTAAATAAGTGCGTAGTTATGATGAGCAAGGGTGCCTTTTTCAAAATTTTGAAATTATGTGGTGCTAGGGTCAGTGTTTCTGGTGTGCGTGTGTGTGTGTGTGTGTTTTGGGTTAGGGCTCTATTGATAATATAGTGAAAATGTGTTAATTCTTTAATTTTTTGAAAGTCGTCGACTAAGTGCAAATTTGTAAATTTCATAGCCATGGATCATAGATTCTGGTGTTAGGTTGGGACTCTGTTGAATCTATAGTGAAAATGCATTATTTCTTGAAAATCTTCTCTGCTACTAGGCATCTGGGAGGCAAGCAGAGTATAAATTTTAATTTTTGATAAGCAATGATATTTTTTTTACCAGATTTGGACAAATGTTCTGATGCTGACCAGGAATCTATTAATTTGTATTATACTAAGAGAAGTCATTCCTCTTTGTTATTTTATTTGATAATTAATCACTGTAAATAATGTATTTTGAAGGTTAATAAAATAAGAGAATTACGAGGGTTGTCCGGTAAAATCGTGGACAAGTTGTCTAGATTGAAAAATAATCATCACTGCGTTCTAAAACTTTCACTACTTTTTAGTACATTTTTCATCAATATATATAGCAAATTTCAAATAGATATCTGCTCAAATAAACAAAATATGAGACTTAATGGTATGTGTGGTATCGCCTTACGGAGCACGGATGATAACGTCAAAGTGTCTAAAGCAGCGTCACGTTTCCTCTTTGCTAAATTAAAGTTGGATAAGCCCCACTTAAATTCGGGGATTTCATTGATGCACAAACTTGATTTCCTCTTTATTCCTCCATAAACAGTCGAGGAACCAATCTCGCACACACATGGGACCTTCTGAAGGTTTTTTAGTAAGTTATGGACAGCACTCTCACTATTATTCAACTAAATAGGCTATCTTATATCGACGATCTACAGTGACAGCGTCTTCTGCTCTTGCCAGAAGCTATTTGTTCGTATGTTTCGTTCTACCCGGGGACATAAATTTTCGTAAATTATCTCAATTTATTTATTATGACAATCTGATTGTATTCATTGTTTGTATAATAAGGAGAGGATTTATTAAGTTGAAAGAACTTGTATCCAATCCTTTTGTATGTATTATTACAATAAAATATGTTCAAATCACAAAAACCCGGGGACCCGATCAAAAGCTTCCGCTTAGAAATCTCCAATTTCACTTGTATATTAAAGATCTAGTGATATTTTTATATATTTCTTCTTCTGTTGTCATTTAAAGTTTCTTGGGGCGTCATTCCTATATCTAAATCAAACTGAACTGCTCTCCAGTGCGCCGTAACGTCACCAAACGTCGCCATTTTCGTGTGTTGCGTTTACCACTATCCAATTTCAAATGCTTGGGAAACCGCCAAAAATTAAGCAAAGTCCTTGATATTTTACAAAAGACGAAATAATAGATAATGGATTAAAAATAGGATAAATTTTACCCCAGTCTTATCTATTTAATACTTTTATTTCGAAATAATACTCGTGTATTCGCTAAAGAAACCCTGGTTTTTTGATCGTGCGCCGTAGGACCGTACCCTGTGAACATTCAAGCATAATAAAATCTTTATTTTTGTCTTTATTTTATCAAAAATATTAAGATGCACTTAAATATGATGAATAAACATTTGCTGAAAATTTCAGCTAAGTGTGCCTATTATTTTTCGAGAAAAACGCTTTGTCCACGATTTTACCGGACAAGCCTCGTATATATATGACAGAATTTTATTTGTATAATACAAAAAAACTTTCATAGTTTTAATGATCAGGTACACTTGTAAATAATAGATAATTAATAGTGAGACAAAAATAACTTTACTTTTTAGATGTTTTTCAAGGACCAAGAGAGGTAATTACGTTGGGTTAAAAAAAAGTACAGAAACATTATTGGTTTGTTACATGTAATAGTCTGCATGGTGATGGTGATAAATGGGGACAAGTAGAACTTAATTACTTTATGAGTTGTTACTGACCACTGGACTAATTATTTTTTTTATCATGGTCATCCTTTTTCTCTTGCTTTTGGGTAAGGATGCCCCATCTATCAGTTTATTTAATACTTCTATGGATCCTCTAAATTGTTTTATTATAATCAGGTTACCGTTAAGGTCCTTAGGCCTCTTTTACTACTACTACTATATACAATTCTGTATGAACATATTTTTTTTGTACCTGAACATAATCTGCATATTTTTATCAATCAACACGTGATCGTTTTATGCTTTGTTGTTATTCCTGTCACATGTTCGCGATTTAATGTTATCTTATGAATCAACTTCCGCAGTGTATTGGATTTATTCATGATAAAACATAGAGTTTCCATATTGAGTGAAAATTTCCATATGAGTCTGACGATGTACCAAAAGTGATAATGATAATTAATGGATTTTTCATATTAATGGACTTTTTGCTGATTCCGCCCTACTTTATTGATTCAGCATATGCATTGATTGGGAAACACATATGTTCAAATATAACTGAGAGGTAATTACATGTAAATTCAACAATGGATCATTCCGAACAATTACCTCTAATTTTCATTCATTATGCATTTTTGTTGTCTCCATTTATAGAGGGAATGTAACTTTCTGTTGCCCTGGCTATGAAGAAAGAGATAACATGTGTGTTGGTATGGTACAAACATGTTTAGAGATTCTTCATCGATCAAATTATTCACAAAACTGAGTTTACGCTATGATGTTAAAATAAAACAAATCTTTTTTCTAAACGGATTCTAAAATATAAATGCTTTTTATGTGCCTTTAAAATGTTTTAATTTTATTTCTATTTCTTTCCAATTCTGTGAAATATCGATGTTGACTAATAGAGTGCAAACATGGATTTTGGGGGAGTAATTGCGACTCAACATGTCCCACCAACTATTATGGTCGGAAATGTGGGATGGAATGCAAGTGTAACAACTATGAGTACTGTCACCACGTATGTGGCTGTGTGTCAAATCTGTCAGAAAGTTTTGGAAACGCAACGATGTTCCATAATGTTACCAAAATAGAACGTGATATTAGCATAAATGAGACTAAGCAGATACTTTTCATGGGACAATGTTTATCTTCAACAGAAAATACGATCAACTTAGCAGTCAGCACTACTGGAATCGATATTGGTAATATATTTTAACTTCTTACAATGAACGAATGGTAAGAAAAATTAATGTTACCGAAAACTCTCTTTGATAATTCAAAAAGTTATATTTTTAGAGTTAAAGTGACATTTTTGATTATTTAACAATTTGGTCCTTTTTATTAAATATAACATTCCGTGATCATGCAAAGAAAACCCTTAATTTTTAACTATTATGGTCGGAAGTGTGAAATTAAATGCCATTGAAGTAAATTAAGTACTGCCATCATGTGGTTGACTATATGTCAAATTTGTCAGAATGGTTTTGCAACATAGTATTATGGAATATGAGATTGGCGTTGCTTATCTTTAACAGAAAATAACACTTTGAATAATAGGAGACAGTACTGATGAAACAGATGATTATAATTAATGCTTTACAAATTACATGTATAATGAACGAATGATGAGAAAAGTCAATATATCCCTAACAAAAATACTCAAAAACCCTCTGCTGGTGGACTGTTAGTCCAAAAGAGCCTCTACAGCCCAGTAGCTAAGTACTTCGGTACTAGCTTAAAAATACCTATATATATTTAATTGCTGTGGTATGATTTAGAAATTAATTCAAAATTAAGGATTATCTCCCTCATGCATAGTTCTGATCCTTCGACGTATTTGGTGCCAGTCTTTGGCATACCCCTTTTGTCAGTTTTTCTTATTTAAATATTTCGGATTTCCAACGTTTTGGTATGAGTATCACTGAAGAGATATAATTTGTCGAAATGCGCATCTGGTTCAGCAAAATTGGTATGTATAAAATTCATATTGTGACCCCTGGGTCGAGGCCTGGTGTTGGGGCGGGGCTCTATTGATTATACAGTGAAAATGCATTTATTCTTTCAAAATCATCTTCTCTGCTTCTGGGTATTATTTAAACAAACTAAGTGCATGGTTATGATAAGCAAGGATGCCTCTTGTAAAATTATGAAATGGATGGGTGGGTGGGCTCTATTGATTTTATAGTAAAAAGCATAATTTCTTTCAAAAACTTCTCTTCTGCTTATGTTATAAAGCAAAGAATCTAAGTGTATACATGTAGTTATGATGAGCAAGGGTGCTTCTTCCAGAATTGTGAGTTTCATGGCCTCTGGCCTGAAGGGCGTTATAGTAGATTTGATCACGAAACAACTTCATGTCATATCCCAATGAAACTCTAAAAATGATATTTTAATTGTTATATTTATATTTTTGTATTACAAAAAAATAAAAATCCCATTTTAGACTCCGTTATGGAAATTCAAGTAACGACGTCATATGACGTCACAATCTAAACCCTCCCGATGTCTCGCCGTTTTGCTTTCCATATTCAAGAAAGTCTTATCACATGACCAACTTCATGTCATTGAAAATTGAATCTTAATTTCTTTACTATTGTCACTCAAGGAAACTCATTGGCAAATGTTAATATCATAAAAACACTTGGATTTCTAGCCTTTATTTTTTTAGATAACCCACCTTTTTTGGTGGACAGGCAGGTTGTGTTTTGTAGGTAATTGAGAAGTTGATTCTCATGTAATTTTATGTTATGTTTGTTGGGGGTCAGATTGCATAATACTTATTGAAGATACTCTTTGTTTGTCTATGTTTTCTAGTCTTTTCTGACCCCCATTATTTGTACAAGTTTTATATTCGTCATTTTTGATTAAATGACATTTTTTCAATTCAACACTGTGTTACTGGTTCTGCCTGTCAGGTCAAAAAACAAGCTTCGTCAACTCGGCAAGGTATTTAGACAATCAATGGAACATAAAACACTTTTATAGTTTTAACGATCAGGTAGACTTGTAAATAAATAAAAATGAGACAAAATAACTTATCATATTAGATGTTCTTATAAGACCAAGAGAGGCTAATATGAGAGGTTTTAATATGGAGTTAAACATAGAACAGAAGCACTAATAGTTTGTTAATAGTCTGCATGGTGATAGTGATAAATGGACAGAATAGAACTTAATGTACGAGTTGTTACTGATTACTTGACTTATTTCAATGAACTTGATCATCCTATTTTTCTTGCTTTTGGCCAACAAAGTTTCATCTATCAGTATATTTTAAACTCTGTGGATCCTCTAAATTGTTGTATTATACTCAGGTGACCGTTAAAGCCCTATGACCTCTTGTTTGATTGATTGATTGTATGTTGTTTTATGTCCCATTCGAGAATTTTTCACACATATAGAGACGTCACCATATACTGGTGAAGGGCTCCAAATTTGGACCTTTACTCGGCACCCAGGGCTATTGAGCAGTGAGGGATCTTTAAAGTCCCAACGCCTGCCGAGACACGGGGCCTCGATTTTTAAGGTTTCATCCGAAGCACCTGCAACTTTCACTTCAAAGTGCCGAGCGCATGACGAAGGAACAGTTGCTACCCATTTTTTATCGACTAAGGTCAGTCGCGGCCGAAATTCGAACTCACGACCTCCTGATCACGAAGCGAGCGCTCTACCGACTGAGCTACCGTGAACGCTGCCTCTTGTTTGAAGACAATATCTCGTATACAAGTGAGGGGATTTTTTTTCTCTTCAAAATAAAATCCTTATAGGAACTAGCACGCACGTAGACAAATTTTAATCCTACTCAAAATAACTTTGTTGATGATCTTTTAAGAGTCTAAAAAGAATCAATAATTTTTAATATGGAGTGTTGAAGGAGGGCACGGCGGGTGTGGCCGGTCGAAAGGGATGCTTAATCCTCCGTGGTACCCGATCCCAGCTCTGATGTTTATTGGAGGTTCACTCAGAGTTTATGCTCTTCCAATGGACTTTTGAACCTAACCACTGTTCATTCTCTTCATTTTTCATTTAGAAGTGATGATTTAAAAGCATCAAATAATCCTTGTTTGAATATGTATGTTCGTGATACACCGTATGAGTATTTAAAGGTGCTTGGACACAGATTCGAAGTTAATATTTTTTTTTTTAAATTTCGGTATAATATCATGACATATATGTTTTTATAGCATTTCACATGGAAATAAAATTAAAAAAAATATTTTATCTGGAAATTATTGAAACTACAAATTTCGGGACACGTTTCATTGACACATTTATGCACTTTCACAAAGTAAACTTCATCCTTAATACTTAAGAAAAGTAGAAATTTTGTTGTGCATTAATGAAAAATATTAAACTATAATCCAGAAAATAAAGAGTAGAAATGTGAGAAAGCAAAACCAACTCACCAGTATTGTCAGTCCGTGCTCAGTGATGTGTGCTGAGTTTAACAAATTGAACCCACCTGTGAAACGTAAACTGGTTTTGTAAACATATGTACGAGCTCTGTTATTGTTAATGTTTATGTTTCACCGGGTATGTTCAATTTGTTAAACTCTGCACTCATCACTGAGCACGGACTGACAATATTGGTGAGTTGGTTTTGCTTTCTTACATTTCTACTCTGAATTTTCTGGATTATAATTTGAATATATTCCATTAATACACAACAAAAATTTTAATTTTCTTAAGTATTAAGGATAAAGTTTGCTTTATGAAAGTGCTAGGATGCATCAATCAAACGCGTCCCGAAATTTGTAATTTCAATAATTTCCAGATAAAATAATTTTTCTTATTTTATTTCCATGTGAAATGCTATAACAACATATAAGTCATTATATTATACCGAAAACTTGAGCAAATATTAACTTCAAGTCTGTGTCCAAGCACCTTTAATATTTTACAGCCTAAGGTAATTTTGTGAGCATATTTAGCAGCTGTTTCAGTGGTAAGAGACGTGGGTTTAAATGTACTTTGGAACTATATGATTAATTGAAAAATTTCAACAAGTATATGCATATTCATTAAATAGCAAGCTGCAACTAAACACAACTCTGTCTTTTGTTCTCTATTATCAACAAGATGAAGTTCCAGTCAGTAGTGACCATGGAGTGTATAAGACAATGAGAACTGTGTTCCTTGTTGTATTACCATTTTTGATATCTGTCTACTTACTCTTCTCTTTTGGAATAGTTTACAGGTAAAATTAACTTTTTTAAGTTTTTGAACTCCTAGAGAAACCAAATAAGACCGCACTCTTCTTACTGTGTTTGTATTATTATCTTGTAGAAGATGTTGTTCCGAAAAGAAACAAGATTTGCAAGGTAAACTAATATATGTATTAAAATTACATTTTATCCTATGTTCCTTGCAGGTAAACTATGAAATAACTAGCTCTTAAATTCCCTGTAGAACTTCCAGTTTAAATGCATTTTGAATTTTTTCCTTTATCTTCAATGTAAAATTTTGGAAATGATGTGGATCGTTAAGAGTAAAAGCATGAAAATTCAGTTACAGTATGAAAAAGTTAACATTCCGAATGAAAAATATTTTGAAAAAAAGATAATCATTTCAGGGATTTCAAGGGCCCATTCAGGAATAGGGACCTTCCTTTATATCTCTAATTTTATTTCTTAACCAAATTCCAGTGATATTTCACGTTTTAGTTAAAATGGTACTAAACAACAAACGAAGTTAATATTTTCAGACGTATATTAGACTATTTTTATGATGTCTCTATTTTTTTAATATGACAAAGTTTGCATGCTATTAAATCATCCATTTAAAATTCTTTCCTAGAAAATTAATATTTTCAATGTTTCAGCGATTCAAAGTTTGAATTTCTCAATATGTATGTTTTGTAGGGAAGGCAACGAATATTCGAACATTCGAATATTCATTCGATGAGTTGATATTCGAATATGAATTTAAGATTCGAATATTCGGTGTTTTCAGACGTTTTTCATAAGAAGAAGTACTGTGATTAATAAATTTTGATTAGAACAGTGCTGGAATTATACCCGTTTAATTTACTAGCGATCAATTTCGATCGCCTGATTTCTTTCACTACTTTCTTATCTTATAAATCAACTAAATTACATGTGTTTTGTTTTGAGTAAGGTGTTAAAGAATTGTACAATAATGCTTTATGTATAATACAAAACGTACTTTCATATTTTTTATTAGTTAGATACTATCGGATCTA